GCGTCCGACATCGACTTCGACGAGCACGGCGACGCCGTCGAGTTCGGCCGCGTGAGCGACGGGTATGAGATTTAAGAAGGTCGAATTATGCTCCAGTGCGGGGATGACGGTCGCGTGGCACGCACGCGCACAAGCTCCCTGAAATCGAACTTCCTTTCGATTCGCACGGTTGTCAGGGGCACGTTAGCGCGATATGTACCGCCAGCGACCTACCCGTCGCGCGTTTTTTCAATTTTGCACCGCTGACAAACAATGTCAACGGCAAGAACCAGAACGCGCAAAGAAGCCGAGGGAGGCCTCGGTCCCCAGCTGGCTGCTTCTTCGTGGACGTGCTCATGCCAGGGAAGGGAGAGAGCTGGTGCGTTTGGCGAGGAGTCACCCCTAGTAGGCTGCTAGCCGCTTAAAGACTCCTCTCTGCATCGGCCGCACGCTGCCCGGCGGCGCGAAGCTCGACGCGTACGGCGCGAAGCTCAGCACCGAGCACTCGATCCTCAACCTCGAGTCGCGACGCACGGACTACCACAACGCGGTGCTCGCCCAGATCCACGACTCGGCGCGGCAGGCCGGGCTCCCGGCCCAGCGCGAGCCGCGGGGCTTGCTCTTCTCCACGGGCCTCACGGCCGCGGGCCGCGCGCGGCTGGCTTCGGAGCGCGACGCGGCCGTCATGCTCGGCGACGCGCGTGACGCCACCGCCGGCGACGGCGCGGGCGTCAACCGCGCGGCGCTCGTGCCCTTCTCCAACGTCGAACGGCGCGTCAAGAACGTGACGCCGGACCTCGCCGTCGAGCCCCTCGACAAGGTCCGCCGCATCTTCGACGTGAAAACGCTTGCCTGGTCCGCCGCCGACTCGAACTACTACTCCACCGCGGCGTCCGCGCGGAGAGGCGCGTCGCCCGTGGACAAGCGGGCGTCCTACGTCGACAACGAATACAAGGCGCACGCGAAGCAGATCGACGTTGAGATCAACGGCGTCTCCGACGGCCCGATGCTCCGCGCGCTGAGCTCCCTCGGCGGCTGCGTCGGCCTCGTCTTCGGCCAGTTTTCCGAGGCCTCCAAGGACGTCTCGTCCCTGCTCGCGGACGTCGCGACCGCGCTCTCCGAGTCGCGTTGGATCTCCATGGGCTGCGCGTGCCCCGACCAGGCGAAAGCCCTGCTCAGCAACGAGCTCCACCGCGAGTGGGGCACCACCGCCGCGAAGTACCGCGCGCGCTACCTGATCTCCGGCCTCAAGTTCGTCGACGGCACCTGGACGTCCAAGGCCCGCGCCCTCTCCCACCGACTCGAAGACGACGCGCGCCGCCTCGCGGACCGCGCCGCCCTCGCCACCCTCACGACCAACCTCCGCTGCGACGGCTAGGGGGCGGCCTCCGGCCGCCACCTGGCTCGGCTCGCCAAGGTACCCCACGAACCCCCCTGGATAAGCGACAGAAGCTGAGCTGGCTCTGCGTTCGAAGTTCAGCGCCCGCGAAAATGGCCGTGTGCAACGCCATGACGATGTCTAGACTCGCACCAGTGCTCCTTCTCCTCTGTGCGACCTCCGCGCTACAGCCGCCAACCAAAAAAACGCCGCCATCGCCGCCGCAGCGGACGAACCTCGACGCCGCGGCGAAACTTGAGGAGTACAGCACGAACCGCGAGTACTGGTACGACCCGCGCATCCACCAGGGCATGGGCGGGAACATTGGCGTCGGCGGGCTCATCGCGAGCGTCATGGCGCCGCTCATCACGAAGGTCATCGACGTCGCGGCGTACGGCGGCCGCGACATCCGCACGGACTGCGCCGCGGCCGCGCGGTCCGCCGTCGCCGCCGTCGACGGCCTCGCCGCGCCGGTGGCCCCCGGCGCCGCGCCGGCGGCGTCGCTCGTCGTGGACCTGGGATGCGGCACGGCCGCGTCGACGCGGGGCCTCCGCGCGGCGTTCCCCGAGGCGGACGTGCTCGCGTACGACACGTCGCCGCCGTTCCTGCGCACGGCGCGGCTCCTGACGAACGTCGTCGGCGGCGCGAAGCCCGTCGTCTTCAAGGAGCGGAACGCCGAGGCCACGGGCCTCGCCGACGGGTCCGCGGACGTCGTCTCGATCCAGTTCGTGCTCCACGAGGTGCCGCAGCAGGGCCGCGCGGCGCTCCTCGCGGAGGCGAAGCGCGTGCTCCGGCCCGGCGGCCTCCTCATGGTCCTCGACATCGCCCAGGAGTACTCGCCGTCGCCGGCCATGGCCGAGGGCGAGCCCTACGTCTGGGGCTACATGCGCAACATCAAGCGCGACCTCTCCAAGGCGGGCTTCGTCTCGCTCGAGGAGACCAAGGTCGTGCCGAACCACGCGACCATGTGGCTCTGCCGCACGAACATCATGCCGAGGCCCGCGGGCAAGAACAATATCCTCAAAATCAACCTCGGCGACGCGGGCCTCGCGACGAAGCGACGAGACGCGGCGCGAGACGCGATCGCGGCCGTCGCCGAGGCGGCGTGAGATGCACACATGTCCCCCCTTCCCCTGTACACACCCCTGTCCATGCCATCCCCGTCGATCGACCCGGGGTCGTCTTTCGCGCACAACGTTGTTGATAAATGACTGCTGCAAACAACCGGAGCGTCCTGTACCTTGCGGCCGACGAGGCTGCCGCTTATCCAGGGGGGTTCGCGGGGTACCTCGGCGAACCGAGCCAGGCGGCGGCCGAATCGGCCGCCTTAAAGGCCGCCCCCTAGCCTGAGGCGGCCGTCGCGGCGGAGGTTGACGATGCACCCACAAACACCGAAGCTGCCCGCCACTCATCAGAAGGGATGGTGGCCATGCCACGGGCGCCCGCGGACACCGACGACCTGCCCGCCGCGACCGCCCGGCGCATCGCGTCGCAGATCATCGACGGCTACGTCGAGCAGTTCGGCTTCCAGGCCGCGAGCGCCGCGTGCCAGCTCGAGCACCTGCTGTCCCTGCTGGAGTCGCAGACGCGGTGCTGGAAGTCGCGGGAGACGGCGCTGGCGCGGCTCCACCGGCTGACGCTCGAGGGCTACGCGGCCTGGCTCGAGGACACGGAGCTCGAGGAGGCGCCCGCGCCGCCCGCGCTCTTCCCGCCGACGCCCGAGGAGACCGCGCGGCTCTCCGTGCGCGCCGAGGGCGCGGACTCGCCCGCGCGCGCGGTCGCGGACGCGAGCTACCTGCAGCTGTCGCAGCTCGCGCTCTGGCTCCTCGTCTGGGGCGAGGCGGGCAACGTGCGGCGTCCTGCGGCCGTGACGATGTTCGAGAGCGTTCGACCGGGAAAACGACGACGAATCGTCACTCGGTAGGCAACGTGCGCTTCATGCCGCGGGCGCTCTACCTCATCTTCCACGCCGCTCGCCACGCGAAGCGGCGCTGGTGGGCCGCGAAGGAGCGCGGCGCGCCGGCCGCGGGCGCGTACCTCGACGACGTCGTCGCGCCGCTGTGGCGCTACATGTTCTCGCGGACCTACGCGGGCCTGGCCGTCAAGGGCGCGACGTCGCGGCCGACGCTCAAGGAGGACGTGTCCTACGTGACGGACCAGCACTACGACGACGTCGACGAGCAGCTCATGACGCGGCGGCGGCTCCGCGCGCTCGTCGTCCGCGCCGACGCCGGCGCGGGGCGCACGACGATCACGGAGTTCATGCAGATCGTCGACCTGCCGGCGCACACGTGGTACGACCTCCTGCGCGCCCCGGCGTCCCGCGGCGCGCCTCGAGGGTTTATGTTTCGACGGGGAAACGGTGTAGGCGGTCGTGCGACTGGGCCGCGTCGATGCGGCGCGCCAAGTCCTTCAGCGAGCCGCACGACGTCCGCGCGTTCGTCGCGGGCCACTCGCGGTTCCTGAGCCTCGCGGCGCTGGAATTCGGCTATTTGCTCTACCTCGCCCTGGCGCTCGAGGACCGGACGGCCGGCGCCGGCGACGTCTTCCTGCCCATCGCCGCGTCCGCGGCGCTCGCGCTCGCGTCGGACGCGTGCGACGCGTCGCTGCACCCGCACCGCGGCGCCTTCGGCCACGTCCCGCGGCGCCTCTACGTCGCCACTGCCGTCCACGTCGGCGCCGTCGTCGCGCCCGTCGCCTACCGCCTCTTCTTCGACGACTCTCACGCGGCGGTCGTCGTGACGTGCGGCGTCTTCGCGGCCGCGAGCCTCGTCCTCGTCTTCGGCTTCTCCGCGGAGACGTGCTGCGAGCGGGGCCTGCCCGTGGCCAAGATTTTGCAGGACGACGCACGCACGCGCGCCGCGGCCTGGGCGCTCACGGCGCTGTTCCTGGGGCTCCACGGCGTCGGCTCGTTTTTCGCGCTCGCGAGACCGTACGCGCGCGCGGTCGCCGCCGTTTCAGCCGCGCCGTCGCTCGTCGTCGCGCCCCTCGCCGCCGCGTCGGCGGCCGTCGCCTGCGCCTTCGTCGCGTCCTACTACCTCGCGTTCACCGTCGCGCTCGCGTTTTGCGGCGCGATCCGCGGCGCGGCGGTGCTCGGGCTCACCAAGCGCGTCTCGCGCTACGTGCGGTCCTGCTGCACGACGGAAGCATCGAAGATGTTCTCCTTCCCCTGGATCGCCAACGACGTCGGCGGCGGCCTCGTCACGGCGCACACGTCCGAGCTCGGCCGCTGGAACGCGCCGCCGTCCGAGCCCGATCGCGGCCCGCCGACGCTCTTCTCGCGCGGCTGGCACGCGATCGTCGAGGACCTGGCCCGCGACGCGCTGCTGAGCCCGGCGGAGCGCGAGGCGCTCCAGTGCATGCCGCGCACGGCGCGGCGGCTCCCCGCGGAGTGCTGGCCCGCGAACGGGGAGGCGCGGCGCCGCCTCGACTTCATGCTCCTCACGTCGAACATGTCGCTCCCCGCGTCGCCGGGCGTCCTCGACTCGCCGTCGCTCACGGTGCTCGTGCCCCACTACGGCGAGACCATCTACGCGCGGCTCGAGGACCTCGTGGGCACGGACGGCGACGACGGGAGCCCGACGCTCCTGTCGTTCCTCGTAGAGTTCTTCCCCGACGAGTTCGCGCGCTTCGCCGCCGCGAGCCGCCTGTACGACGACCGGGCGTCGCCCGCGCAGCGCAACTCGGAGACGAAGCTCGGCGAGGCGACGCGGGCCGCGGTCGCGGGCCGCGGCGCGGTCACGCGCGCGCGCGGCCTCACGCTCAGCGACGACGACTCGTGGCGCCTCCGCCGCTGGGCGAGCCGCCGCACGCAGACGCTCTACCGCACGATCTCGGGCCTCCACAAGTACAGCGACGCCCTCAAGCTGCTCTGCACGGCGGAGAACCCGTCCATGACGTCGGCCGAGGTCGACGCGGTCGTCGACTCCAAGTTCTCGCTCGTCGTGGCCATGCAGCGCCTGCCGTCCTTCACGGCCGAGGAGCGCGAGTGCCTCGACGAGCTCTTCTACGAGTTCCCGAACCTCCGGGTCGCCTACGTCGAGGAGGCGGCCGAGCGGGACGGCCGCGCGTTCTACAGCTGCCTCGTCGACGCGCGCTGCGAGGCGGACGGCGCGGGCGCGCGCGCGCCGCGGTACCGCGTGCGGCTCCCGGGCCACCCGATCCTGGGCCACGGCAAGGGCGACAACCAGAACCACGCCCTCATCTTCACGTCGGGCGAGGTGCTCCAGTGCATCGACGCGAACCAGGACTCGTACCTCGAGACCGCGCTCATGGTCAACTGCGTCCTCGCGGAGTTCAACGAGGCCCACGTGGAGCGCGCGGGCGGCGCGCGGCGCTGCGCCATCCTGGGCTTCCGCGAGCACATCTTCTCGTCGTCGCTCGGGTCCTGCGGCGACCTCGCGGCGAGCCAGGAGGCCGTCTTCGGCACGCTCGTGCAGCGCGTGCTCTCGAACCCGCTGTCCGCGCGGCAGCACTACGGCCACCCGGACTTCGTGGACAAGCTGAGGATGATGCAGCAGGGCGGCGTGTCCAAGGCCGTGCGGGGCCTCCACCTCTCCGAGGACATCTTCTCGGGCTTCGCGACGCAGCTCGGCGGCGGGTCCATCGTGCACCGCGAGTACTGCCAGGTCGGCAAGGGCCGGGACCTCGACTTCAACTCCATCATGTCCTTCTACTCGAAGCTCGCCCAGGGCAACGCGCAGCAGCTGCTCACGCGCCAGGTCTACCGGCTCGGCCGCTTCGCCCCGTTCACGCAGATGCTCGCGAACTACGTCGCGCACTGCGGCTTCTTCGTGACCCAGGTCCTCATCTGCGCCGGCACGGACGCCACGGCCCTGGGCCTCCTGGCCCTCGCGCTCGTCGACGAGAGCGGCCCCGCGAAGGCGCGGCTCGAGGTCCTCCTCGCCGAGTTCTGCTCCAAGGTCGCGGTCGTCTTCATGGTCGTGCCCGCCGCGCTCCTCCTCGTCGAGCTCTGCCTCGAGGAGGGCGCGGGCCGCGCGGTCTGGCGCGTGCTGCTCCAGTACGTGACGCTGAGCCCGGCCTTCGAGTGCTTCAAGTCCAAGTGCATGGGCGCGACGCTCGTCCGGGAGCTGACGGTCGGCGGCGCGTCCTACATCCCCACGGGCCGCGGCCTCGCCATCGCGCGGACGGCGCCCGACGCGCTCTACCGCAACTACTGCGTCCAGGCCATCCGCGACGGCTGCCGCGTCCTGCTCTACGTCGCGCTCGCCGCGGCCGCGGGCGGCGTCGGCGCGTGGCCGGCCTGGCTCACGCTCGGCTTCCCGGCCTGGTCCTGGGCCTTCGCGCCCTTTCTGTTCAACCCGCACCAGTTCCTGCTCGCGGAGGTCCCGGGCATGTACGGGAGCTGGGCCGCGTGGCTGCGGACCGACTGGCGCGCGTGGTCGCTCCGCGCGCACGCGCCGGCGCGCTCCGACGGGAGCGCGGCGCTCCGGCGCGCGGTCGACGGCTCGCTCGGCGACGTCGCGAAGCTCGCCGTCGCCGCGGCGGTCTTCTTGCCGCGCGCGCGGTCCGCGTCGGGCGGCCTCGGCGCCGCCGGCCTCGTCGTCGCGGCGACGCCCGTCGTCGAGGTCGCGTTCGTGGCGCTCTGCGCGCTCCTCGCGCGGCTCCGCGCGGCCCCCGGGCCGCGCCCCGGGCGGGCGGCCCCCGGGCCGCCCCCCTGGTGGCCCGCGCCGCTCGCCGCGGCCCTCGCGCTCGCGGGCGTCGTCGGCGCGGCGGCGGCGACGACGGCCATGCCCGCGGCGGGCTGGATCGGCTTCGCGCTCCTCAAGCTCACGTCGACGGCCGCCGCCGCGAGCGCACTCCGCGCCGCGTGCGGCGGCCGCGCGGGCGTCGCGGCCCGGTCGCTGACGGACGCGGCGCTCGCCTTCGCGTTCCTCGCCGACGCGCTCCTCGCGCACGCCGTCATGCTCTGCGTCCTCGCGATCGCTTTGATCCCCTGCGCGGACCGCATCCACACGCGCATGCTCTACCGCATCTCGCCGCTGGCCTCGGAGACGCGGCTCCGCGCGGAGATGGACCGGGCCTTCGGCGCCGCGAAGATCTTACGGCCCGACGACCCCATCGCGTCCCTCTCGGACTCGCTCCCGAAGCAGCAGGGCTCCCTCCTGCGCCACTCCTGGGGCTCCCGCCAGGACGCCTTCCGCCGCGACATCATCGACACGGAGGACGACGAAGACCCGTTCGGACCGCCGCGGGCGACCGCGACCTTCGTCTGAGTCGCGCGTCGGGGCGAGCCGTGGCGCCGCGCGTCTGGCGACGCCGGGCGGAGAGTCGTAACATATCCCGCCGGCGGGATATGTTAAAGGCCGCTTCAACTTGGACTTCAACCTCAAACCTTGCACTTCAACAGGGACCTCAACACAGCCGCTTGCCCTTCAAAAGGGACCTCAACACCGCCGCTCACGCCTCATCGGGGACCTCTGACGCGCCGCCCACGCCTTAGGGGGCGCGACCCGCCCCATGCCACGTGCCAGAAGCCCTCCAGAAGCCCTCCAGAACCCTTCCAGAACCCTTCCGCGGACCCGAAATACCCCAAACCCCTTACGATTTTACAATTTTGATTTCCCCCACTGCCTCGCCTTGGTAAACTGCCCTTCAAGTTTTCTTAAGGGCAAACTGCAACGCCGCCCCATACCACGTGCCAGAAGCCCCCCAGAAGCTTCCTAGAAGCCTTCTAGAACCCTTCCGCGGAGCCAAAAAATACCCCAAACCCCTTACGATTTTGCAATTTTAATTTCCCCACTGCCTCGTCCTAGTAAACTGCCCTTCAAGTTACATTAAGGGCAAACTTCAACGCCGCCCCTTCAGCTTCTTAAAATAGCAAAATGAAGTCTTTGGGGCAAACTTCAACGCCGCACCTAAGCTTCCTCAAAATAGCAAAATGAAGTCTTCGGGTCAAACTTCAACGCCGCCGCTTACCTTGTCATTGCATTTCAAGCTCCTTCAAAATGCACTTCAAGCTTTTAGAAAGGCCAAATTTAAAATGTCATTAATTAAGTGATCATTTAATCAGCCGCTAAACATACGTCGCTTATCTCTTTTAGAATTGAAGCGCATTCAAACTTTTCCTGATAATTACAAGCTCGCGGGTTCAAAGAAAGATCAAATAATAGAGCGACCTCAGACGCACAGAGTTTTATATTTTGTGCTTGATATAGATGAGGGTGCGCATCATCGCGGAGTCGCGAATCTTTTCAGACATGTCTGAATCGCGACCGAGCTTTCCTAGACCTTGCTCACCAGGGACGCGTGGACCCAGTCACAGCCCTTTGCCTTCGATAATATATAGTTGCGTCACGATGTCTTCGAAATCCGGCCTCGCGGCCGCGTCGTGAGACCAGGCGCGACACATGAGCGCACGCACTTCGACGGGCATCAAATCTGGCACATTCGGGCGCTCCTGTTCGACACACACCGCAGTGTAGATCTGCGGCAGATCGAGGCCGTCCCAGGGTTTTCCGCGGTCCCAGATCTCCCAGAGCACGATCGCGTAAGCATAGACGTCGCACTTCGCGGTAAACCGTGCTCTGGAGCTGAAAGCCTCGGGCGCCGTGAACGGAAGCGTGCCGGAGATCCCAGCTCCTCCGTGCATGGTTGAGGTCGTCGCTATAGTCTTCAGGGCTTCTGACTTACTGATGCCAAAGTCCGTAATCTTGCACCGCCACTCGTTCGTCAGGAGCACGTTTTGACTCTTGAGGTCGCGATGCAAGACACCCTCCTTGTGGAGGTAGGCCATGCCGATGGCGATGTCCTTGGCCCAGATGAATTGCATCTTGGGCGCGATGGCATCGCCGCGCGCGTCGTCGAGGACGCCGCGGAGCGACCCGTTCGGCAGGTACTGCGTGACGATGCCGACAAAGCTCGCATCCGTGGTGCAAATGCCAACAAAGTCGACGGTGCGCGGGTGCTTGCGCAGCTTATCCATGATGCCGACTTCTTTTTTGAAATTGGAGACAATCCTGTCGCGCGCGGACTGCGCTCCGACGCCGACCAGCGAGAACTTCTTGAGGCACACGATTTCGCCAGCGTACTCCGCTTTGTGGACGCTGCCCTGACCACCGCCCGCGAACGGCTCCACCTCGACGAAATCGAGCTCGATCTCGTTGTCCTCCATGTGCGTCGCCTTGAGACGGCGCGCGCGATCCCATTTCGTCAACGTCTCCAACTTTTCGAGTATCGTAGCGTGGCCCTGCTGCATTTCGTGATGGGAGTCTATGATCTTGGCCAGGCCCTTGCTCACCTCGCCACTCAACTCGCGCATCTCGATCAGGAGCTCGTCCTCGGGCACGTGCGCGTTCTCCACGACCTCCGCGATCGCGACCGGAGTCCGCGCGAGGATCGCGGCGGCCGCGGCCGGGTCCTCGCGGGTCTCGGAGCAGCGCTTCGCCACGAGCATCGTGATCGACTGTTCCATCTGATATGTGCGCTGAAGAATATCGGCGTCCACCGCGAGCTTGTAATCGAGCTTGAGGCTCTCGAGGCACGTCGCGATCTCCTTGTCGAGCTTCGTCAGCGAGTTGACGTGCCCGCGCTGGTGGAAAGCGCGCTTGAGCCAGCCCGCCCGTCCGAAAGCGTCGACGGCCAGCTTGAAGTCGCACAGGAGGCCTTTCAGCGTTCGCATCTTCGACTCCACGAGGTCCGCGTTCCCGAATTCGAGCTTCGCTGCGTTCTTGGACATCTGCTGCAACGCGCCGAGGACGTCGACGACTCTTCGCCCGGCCATCAAGACGTCGTCCGCCTTGCGCGAGTGCTCCTCGACGGAGCGAAGGATGTCGCGGGCCACCTCGCAGATCGGACCAACGACCGGCCCGCCCGCCACCTGCCCCAGTGCGAGGAGGACGTGGACCGCGTTCATGCCCTGCGCGACGACGCCCTCCGACTCGAGCATCAGCTGCTGGTACCGCGCGCTGGGCACGGGCTCCGCCGGCGGCGCGGCCGCGAAACTCGCGCTCGCGGGCGGCGCGGAGGGCGTCTTCGTCGAGGCGGAGTGCCGCGCCGCGCCCGCGACGTTTGACGCGCCGGTGGAGGCTTGGATCTGCGCCTCGGCCTTGAGCTCCTTGACGGAGCGCGTCTCGAGGCCGTCGCCCGCGAAGGCGTCGTCGCGATCCGGAGGCGCCTCGACGTTGAAGTCCGCGCGAGCCGCGGCGGCCTTGGTCCGGCGGCGCTTGATGCAGACGCAGACGATGGCAACCGCGACGACGGCCGCGACGACCGCGGCCACGACGACGATCATGTTCACGGCACTGGCGGTGCTGCTGCCGCAGGTCGGCGTGACCGCGCCGTTCGTCGTGCGGAAGACGTAGGCCGAGCCCGAGCCGGAGCCGGCGTCGTCGTTCAGCCGCGCCCCGAGGACGACGAGGTCGCCGCTGATGGCGACGGATTCGCCGAACGAGTCCGCCGCCGCGGCGTCGCACGCGACGAGCTTGGCGGTCTCCGTCCAGGAGGCGCCGTCGTTCGTCGTGCGGAAGACGTAGGCCGAGCCCGACCAGTCGCCGGCGTCGGCGTTCCCCCACGCCCCGACGACGACGAGGTCGCCGCTGACGGCGACGGAGTCGCCGAAGTAGTCGTACGCCGCGGCGTCGTTCGCGACGAGCTTGGCGACCTGCGTCCAGGAGGCGCCGTCGTTCGTCGTGCGGAAGACGTAGGCCGAGCCCGAGCCGATGCCGGCGTCGCCGTTCCCGTACGCCCCGACGACGACGAGGTCGCCGCTGACGGCGACGGACCGGCCGAAGTAGTCGCTCGCCGCGGCGTCGCTCGCGACGAGCTTGGCGACCTGCGTCCAAGAGGCGCCGTCGTTCGTCGTGCGGAAGACGTAGGCCGAGCCCGATTTGGAGCCGGCGTCGTCGTTCCCGTACGCCCCGACGACGACGAGGTCGCCGCTGACGGCGACGGAGTAGCCGAAGTAGTCGGTCGCCGCGGCGTCGCTCGCGACGAGCTTGGCGACCTGCGTCCAAGAGGCGCCGTCGTTCGTCGTGCGGAAGACGTAGGCCGAGCCCGAGTTGGAGCCGGCGTCGTCGTCATAGAACGCCCCGACGACGACGAGGTCGCCGCTGATGGCGACGGAATAGCCGAAGCGGTCGCCCGCCGCGGCGTCGCTCGCGAGGAGCTTGGCGGTCTGCGTCCAGGTCGCGCCGCCGTTCGTCGTGCGGAAGACGTAGGCCGAGCCGGCGGCGTCGTTCTCGTCCGCCCCGACGACGACGAGGTCGCCGCTGACGGCGACGGAGCCGCCGAATTCGTCGTCCGCCGCGGCGTCGCTCGCGACGAGCTTGGCGACCTGCGTCCAGGAGGCGCCGCCGTTCGTCGTGCGGAAGACGTAGACCGAGCCCGAGTCGATGCCGGCGGCGTCGTTCTGGTTCGCCCCGACGACGACGAGGTCGCCGCTGACGGCGACGGACCGGCCGAAGTAGTCCTCCTCCGCGGCGTCGCTCGCGACGAGCTTGGCGAGCTCTTGCCCGGACGCCTTCGGGGCGAGGCCCCCGAGGAGGAACATGATGATGATCGAATACCACGCGCGCATCGTGCGGCTACTGCCGGGGCGGGGACGAGGGCGAGGGTGTTCACGGGGGAGCGACACGAGCACCGATATGGACGCACGAGGTGGACGCACGAGATGATGTATGGACGCACGAGACGGGGTGAAGAGGTGGCCGGAGGCGGCGACCAGTCGCCCGACAATGCTCCCGACAAATGCTCGCCGGGAAGAGGGGGGTTGGCGGCAGGTGTTGAGGTCCCTTTTGAAGGGCAAGCGGCTGTGTTGAGGTCCCTGTTGAAGTGCAAGGTTTGAGGTTGAAGTCCAAGTTGAAGCGGCCTTTAACATATCCCGCCGGCGGGATATGTTAGTCGGGTAAGAGGACTCCTGGGCTAAGCACTCTTTTTTAGCCACCGTAGACTACGGCGTAGTGGCACCGACTGGCGAGCGTTTGGCCACTGGGATATTGTGTGGATTTGCAATACGAGGTGGACGCGGCGACATGCACTGATAACTCGACCGAGGCCGCGACAAGAGGCCGACAAGCGACGCCTGATAACTCGACCGAGGCCGCGACAAGAGGCCGACGAGCACACCGCGGCGCGCAACGATGTGTCGCCTCGCGCAACACATCGCGATGTCGACAGGATTGCGCTTCCTCGCACTTGCGCACGCGCAAACCGAGCGCCACGGTCACATATCATCTGGAGGCGGCCGGCCGCACGACCACCGCGGGCCGCACGACCACCGCGAGCCGTGGATGCACCCCGTCGGCGCGCCCGCGCGAAACGTCTCGACGCCGTTCGGCGAGGTCCGGCTGGGCGACTGCGCGACGACGCGCGAGAGCCCCGGCGTGCAAAAGCGGGCCAGCGGCCGGTGGGTTCACGTGCAGCACCACTACGTCGAGAAGCATATTCCACAGTCTGAAAATTACCGGCACGAGCGCGACATCACGTCGACGCTCTCCAAGTACCCGCACTTCGTCAAGCTCTTGGGGCACGACGACGCGTGCCAGACCCTCTACCTGGAGAAACTCGGCAAGGAAGTCGGCAGACTGAAACAATACGGCAACCCCAATTTGACCGAGGATTTCGTTCGCCGCCAGCTCGAGTACATCTTCGCCGTGCTCGACCTCGAGGAGCTCACGCCGTCCACCGAGATCTTCAACGGCAAGAACAACCTCATCGTGGACGAGGCGGGGACCATCACGTTCTTCGACTTCGGGATGTATTCTTCGGGTTCCGGCTTCAACGCGACCGCCAATCACGTCATGAAGGATTGCCTCACGTTCACGTGGCGCCGGCGCCTCGACGTGACGTGGAAGGACTGCCTCGACGTGGCGCGGTCGACTAGGAAATGGATACGCGCTCACGAGATGACGCCCGAGACGCGCGTCGGGGCGAGGCGAATCTAACGAGTATAGAGAGCGTGCTGCGCCAAAACGCCAACGCCGATGTACTCGAGCGGGGTAGTCGCGACGCGCCGCCATGTCCACCGGCGGCGCGGCGCCGCCCGGCCCTCGCCAACGCGCCCACCTCTCGCGCACACACTGCGTTACGCCGCGCCGCCTCGCGAGGGGGGCGCGGGACGGGGGGGCTCTCACAGCTTCGGGGACTTGGACGAGGACTTGGATTCGACGATGGTCTTGTCGCTCGGGAACTGGACCGTCTCGCCCGCGACGGTCGCCCAGGGCAGCACGCGGTAGGAACCCATGCTCGAGAGGTCGCCGGACTCGACGGAGTGGGGCACGTCGACGAGGGCGTCGACGTTGCCGTGCTTGTCGACCTCGACGGCGACGATGGAGCCCTCCATGTTGTACTTGCGGTCGTTCGCGAGGCCCTCGGCGAAGGCGAGGAGGAACGTGCCCTTCTCGAGCTCGTAGACGGAGCCGCCGATGGGGTTGTAGAGGTCGTGGAGCATGGCCTGCTCGTAGAGCGCGTGGCCGCCGTCCGCGGACGTCGTCGCGTTCGCGCCCGCCTCCAGAGACCGCGGGTACTCGAACTGCCACTCGAGCGTCGCGGTCGCGGCGTCGTGCTTCGACGCCGCCTCCGCGAGGGAGTAGCGGGCGACGCGCGAGAAGCAGCCGTCGACGGACTTGGTCGCCGCGTCGTTGGAGTCGCCGCAGCCCGGGCGGCCGTAGCCGCCGTCGAAGACGAGCAGCGAGCCGTCGGCGAGCTGCCGGGCGCCCTGGGGCCCGTAGAACGCGTCGGCGGCCTTGTCGAAGGCGTAGTCCGAGTCGATGGACGGCGACAGGGTCCACTCGAGCGCGACGGGGTTGCGGGAGAAGGAGAAGATCGCGTTGAGGTTCTTCGACGTGACGACGTAGTTGCCCGACGGGCCGACGGACACGCTGTCGAGCTTGGAGAACTCGACGGCCTCGATCTTCTTCTTGCCCGAGCACGACTCCTTCTTCGCCTCCTTGTACCACGCGGGCGAGGCGAACATGTCCGTCTCGGGCGTCGCGTAGTCGAAGACGTCGAGGACGGTCTCGTACGTGCCCTTGTGGCGGTTCCACATGACCACGGACTCGCCCACGAAGTTCTCGGCCTTGTAGTGGCCCGCCGTGTCGAGGACCGTGACGTTGGGGAAGCGGCCGTACTTGGACATGAGCGACAGCACGTTGCCCGTCTCCTTGTCGTACGCGGCCTCGTGCGTGAGGCCGTTGCTGTTGAGGGGCTTGCCGCTGCACTCGACGACGGTCTGGTGCTGCATGATGCCCTTGGCGTCGATCTCGAGGAAGGCCGTGTCGCCGGTCCACGTGGCGCCGTCGCCGTCGACGTAGGCCTTCGCGCCGCCCTCGAGCTCCTTCGTCAACACGAGCGTCTCCGCGTCCGTGCCGTCCCAGGCGACGATGCCCGTGCCGCGGTAGTAGAAGACGACGTAGCCCTCGGTGTCGATGGCGACGAGGCCCTCGGCCGCGAAGCCCGCGGCGTCGTCGTCGTCCGCGGGCACCGCGGGCGCGTCCTGGAGCCGCCGCGTCGGCCCCGACGGCTGGTCGACGACGGCGTCCTCGACCTTGGCCACGGCCACGTCCGCGGCGTACTTGAAGCTCAACGTCTGCCACGACGGCGTGCCCGTCACGGTCGCCAGGGGCCCGTCGTCGAAGCGCGGCACGCCCGTCGACGCGGACGTGAACGTGCCGTTGAGCATCATGTACATGTTCTCGTTGGCCTTGCCGCTCTGGGACACGTAGATCCAGTAGCCGTACTTGGCCTTGGGCCGGAGGCGCGCGAGCGTGAACGTGCCCGTGCCGCCGGGCACGAGCGTGGCCTTGGACGCCCAGAGGTCCGCCATCGTCGACCCGTCGGCCTTGTACTTGACGAGGACGTCGACGTCCGTCGTGCACGTGCTCACGACCGTGACGCCCATGTGGGCCCAGAGCATGCTCGCGTTCTTGCCGTCGGGCACCTGGAGGAAGTCGAGGCTCACGTCGCACTCGCCCTTGGACGCCATGAGGTCCGCCGACAGCGCCGGCGCCGCACCGCGCAGCGCGCCCGCGGCGCCGGCGAGGGCCAGCAGGGCCGCGGCGGCGACGGCGACGCCGCGGAAGGGCGACGACCGCTTCGCGTCGCGGAGGTCCACGGCGCCGACGAGCGGCGCCGACTGGTAGGTATCGTGGGGAGCTTCCATCATGGCTCCGGGCAGCCCGTACTCTAAAATGCGATTGTTTCCCTTCAATGAGCCGATGGTTCCGCCGAGGCGCCTCAATCCGGCGATACGGGATCCCAGCTTTCAGTGTCCACCAACCAGCTCGACATCGCCGCAAGCAACCACAGCGGTGCGTCCACACCTCCCTACCCGCGCCGCACCGCGCGCCAACACGCCGCGCTGCCACGCGCGGGCACCGCCACCGCGCCTACGCTCGCGGTGCGCTCACTCCGTCGCGCGTCGCAGGTTTACGCAATCATGACGGCCAAGGTGACGAAGAAGACGGCGAAGTCGGCCCCGGCGAAGACCGACAAGAAGACGAAGAAGGCGGTCAAGCCGCCGCCGCCGAAGCCCGACCCGGAGGAGTCCAGCGCCGACTCCGACGACAGCGACAGCGACTCGTCCGACGAGGAGGTCGCCGTCAAGCCCGCGCCCGTCAAGAAGGCCGCGGCCAAGGCCGAGAGCTCCGACGACGACAGCTCCGACTCGGACGACAGCGACAGCGACGACGAGGAGGACGAGGCGCCCGCCGCCAAGGCCGCCGCGATGGACGTCGACTCGGACGACAGCGACGACAGCGACTCCGACGAGGAGGAGGCCAAGCCCGCGCCGGCCAAGAAGGCCGCCGCCAAGAAGGAGGAGTCCTCCGACGACAGCGACGACAGCGACGACTCGGACGACAGCGACGAGGAGGAGGCCGCCAAGCCCGCGCCGGCCAAGAAGGCCGCGGCCAAGGAGGAGTCGTCCGACGACAGCGACGACAGCGACGACTCCTCGGACGAGGAGGAGGAGGCCGCCAAGCCCGCGCCGGCCAAGAAGGCCGCGGCCAAGGAGGATTCCTCCGACGACAGCGACGACTCGGACGACAGCGACTCCGACGAGGAGGAGGCCAAGCCCGCGCCGGCCAAGAAGGCCGCCGCCAAGAAGGAGGAGTCGTCCGACGACTCGGACGACAGCGACGACTCCTCGGACGAGGAGGAGGCGGCGGCCAAGCCCGCGGCGGCCAAGAAGGCGGCCAAGATGGACGAGTCGTCCGACGACGACAGCTCCGACGACGACGACTCCTCGGACGAGGAGGAGGCGGCGAAGCCCGCGGCCAAGAAGGCGGCCGCGGCGGAGTCGTCCGACGACGACAGCTCCGACGACGACGACGACAGCTCCGACGACGACGACGACGACGAGGCCGCGGAGCCGCCGGCGAAGAAGGCGAAGACGGCGCCCGCGGCGGCCGAGGAGGACCAGGGCGACGCGGCGGGCCGCACGGTCTACCTCCAGGGCCTGCCCTGGAGCACGGAGGAGTCGGAGATCCGGTCGTGGATGGAGGGCTGCGGGTCCATCGAGTCCGTCGAGCTGCCCGTGGGCTGGGACGGCCGCGCGTCGGGCACGGCCTTCGTCGTCTTCAAGGAGTGGGCGCCCGCCGAGGCCGCCCTGGGCATGAACGGCGAGACGTTCCCCGGCAGCGAGCGCTGGATCAAGGTCATCAAGGGCGAGCACGGCCGCCGCGACAACAACCAGGGCGAGGCCAAGCCGAACACGGAGCAGGCGTCGTCCATCTTCATCGGCAACCTGTCCTGGACCGTGACCGAGGACGAGGTCCGCGCGACCTTCGCGCCCTGCGGCGAGATCTCGAACATCCGCTTCGCGACGGACCGCGAGACGGGCGACTTCCGCGGCTTCGGCCACGTCGACTTCGACTCCGCCGAGGCCGCCGAGGCCGCCGTCGCCCTCGCGGGCACGCCCGTCGGCGGCCGGCCCATCCGCGTCGACTACTCCGTCCCCAAGCAGCGCGAGTGGGGCTCGCCCTCGGGCGGCGGCGGCGGCGGCAAGGGCGAGTGGGGCTCGCCCTCGGGCGGCGGCGGCCGCGGCGGCGGCGGCAAGGGCCGCGGCGCCGGCGGCAAGGGCAAGGGCAAGGGCCGCGGCGCCGGCGGCGGCAAGGGCAAGGGCGGCGGCGGCCTCAAGAAGGCCGGCGGCGCCATCGCCACCTTCGGCGGCACCAAGGTGTCCTTCGACTAGAGGGGCGGAGATCCCCGGCTCAGCAAGCGGCCCCACCTCCACTTCCCCCAACCCCTACGGCGTCACTCGGCCCCCAGGTCCGCGAGGAGGCGGTCGACGGCGTCGTGGCGCGCGCGCTCGTCCGCGCCGGCGTCGAACCAGGGCGCGTCCTGGTCGCCGTCGTACTCGTAGGCCCAGGTGTGGTCCCCCGGGTGCGTCGCCTCGGCGTCGTCGTCGGGCCCGCCGGGCAGGCGCTCGAACGCGCCGCCCTCCGGGTTGCCCGCCTTGCCGTAGAGCGGCGCCTCGAACTCGACCTCCTCGACGCGGTCGCTCTCGTTGAGCTCGTGGCCCTGGAAGGCGTAGAGGTCGCGGAAGAGGGCCCGCGTCGACGCCGTGGACGACACGGCGGCGCTCCGCGCGCGGAGCGCGGCGGGCAGGCGGCTGAGCAGGCGCTGGAGCCCGAGCCGGCGGTAGATGAGGTCCTCCTGGAGCCGCGCGGCGAACTTGAAGTTCGACGGCAGGTCCTCGATGTGGTCGTGCATCTGCCGCTCCGACTCGAGCACGAGGCAGACCTTCGAGCCGCCCTGGCCCTCGAGCGCGTCGCCCGCGGGGTCCGCCGCCGCGGCGACGGCGGCCTTGACCGCGAACTTCCGCGGGAAGTTGAGGTCGTCGCGGTCGTCGTTGAGCACGGCGCCGACGGCGCGCTCGCTAAAGTCCTCGGCGTCGACGACGAGGGGCTTCACGTCCACGCTCCGGCAGCGCCGGCGCCACGCGGCGAGGCAGTGGCGGCACCGCGAGATCTGCGCGTCGAGGTAGGCCGCCTCGCGCTCGAGCGACCGCCGCAGCCGCTCGAGCTCGAGGTGCGCGGCGAGGCGCGCGAAGCCCAGCTTCTTCGCCGTCGCCCAGTAGCCCTCGAGCGCGCGGTCGCACGCGGGCGCCTCGACGTTGCGGCAGTTCGACCGCAGGTGGCCCAGCACGAGCGCAAAGGCCTCGGGCGGCTCGTCGAAGAAGTGGTCCAGCGTCGCCGGCTCCTTGGCCGCGGGCACGAGCGACACGGCGACGCCGAGCACGCTCGCCTCCACGAGCGTCCAGGTCCGCCGCAAAGCCTTGAACGTGCGCTCGCCGACCTCGATGCTGATGACCTGGTCCGCGTAGACCGCCTCGGCGATCTCCTGCCGCGACCGCTTCGCCGGCGGCGCGCTGGTCATGGGAGCGCTGCCGCGACGCGGCGTCGAATCGAACGACTCCTTCCTGCTTCCTGCCCACGGGCAGCGCGAATGGCGGGGCGATTGCAGAAGCTCTTTATATAGGGCAACACCTGTGCAAGTGAAGTGATCGCTGTCTTGTGGTAATTCCAGCATCGAGCTCTCACGCGCGCGCCCCGGCTTTGGTCGCAGTCGCACCACAAGCACGCAGCAAGACCACCCATGGCCTCGCAGGTCGGCTCGCGCGCCTTCGTCGACGCCGCGGCCTGCGGCGACCTCGACGAGGTCAAGCACCTGCTGACGGACGGTGGCCTCGCGGCGTCGACGATCAACGCCATCGACAAGGACGGCCGGAGCGCCTTCCACTACGCCTGCCTCAACGACGACGCGCCGCTGCTGCGCGTGCTGCTCGCCGACGCGCGCGTCGACGTCCACCTCCGGAGCCCGCGCGGCGACACGGGCCTGCACATGGCCGCGCTCTACGCCGCGCAGGAGGCGCTCAAGCTCCTCTTCGCCGACGGCCGCGCGGACGTCAACGCGGCGAACGGCTTCAAGGAGACGCCGCTCCACCTCTGCGCGGGATCGGGGGACAAGGGCGCCGCCGCGGCCGCGGGCCTGCTGCTGGCGAACGGCGCGTCGATGACGCGCACGGACCAGTGGGGCCGCGCGCCCAAGACCGTGTCGCACGACAACGCGGAGAACCCGCTCGTCGCCGTCTTCGACGCGCACCTCGCGGACAAGCCGGACCTCGTCGCGGAGCTCGAGCGGCTCCGGCTCGACTACGACGCCATGAACAAAAAGAAGGAGCACAACGACGAGGCGAACAAGGCCGCGAAGAAGTCGATCTTCGGCCAGCTCGGCGCCGTGAAGCTCAAGAAGGCGACGACGGTCGAGAAGAAGATGTTCCGCGCGGGCGAGGGCGCGACGACGGCGACGGCCGCGTCCCGGCCGACGGACGGCCGCACCGCGCTGTCCAAACTCGTCGACTTCCCGGGCGACCTCGCGGCCATCGCCGCGCACCTGGAGAACCCGGCGAAGATCGACCCCGCGGGCGCCGACGCCTACGGGCTCACGGCGCTGCACAAGTTCGCGAGCTGGAACAAGTCGGAGTACCTCCAGCTTTTGATCCCGAAGCTCGCGAAGAAGGACCTCGACGCGCCGGACCCCTACGGCAAGACGGCGCTCCATTGGGCCGTCGAGATGGCGTCCGTCGCGGCTGTCAAGGAGCTCATCGCCGCGGGCGCGGACAAGGATCTCCGCGACGGCAAGGGCCACACCGTCGCGGAGATCCTCGACGCCGCGGCCCCGTCGGGCATCATCGACCGACTCAAGCTCGCGATCGCCTAAAACACCGTTAATCCGCGGGCCGGTCGCGGCCCTCCCCCTCCCGCGCGACGTCCGGCGGCGGGTCCGGCGCGGGCGGCGCCTCGTCCCTGGGCTCGTCGCTCTCCTTCTCGTCCTCCTGGCCGCGGACCTCCGGTTCGTGATGAACGCGAAGCATTTTGGGCGGGTCCTCGCCCCGCCGTCGCCCGGGCTCGTCGCTCTCCTTCTCGTCCTCTTCCGCGGGCGCCGCGGGCGCCGCGCCGCGGGCGGCCGCGGGCCGCCCCCCCGGGGGCAGGGACCGTGGTCGCCGGAGGCCGAGCTTGTCCGCGACGGCGGGGATCGCCTCGAGGATCGCGTCGTTCATCGCGCGCGTCGCGGAGATCTCGGCGCGGAGCGCGGCGACGTGGTCCTCGACGTCAAAGTCCGCGTACTCCTCCTCCTCCTCGTCGCCGTCGCCGTCGTCGTCGGACGCGTCGCTCTTCTCCTCCTCCTCGTCGTCGTCCTCCTCGTCTTCCTCGGCGATGGCCCCGGGGACGGGCGCCGCGCGCGCGAGCGCGAGCGCGTCGCCGTCGCCGTCGCCGTCGCCGTCGCTCTCGCTCTCGCCGTCGCTGTCGCCGTCGCTGTCGCTCTCCGAGTCGGAGTCGCGGTCGTCGCCCTCGTCGAGGGACGCGGCGCGCGTGAGCTGCTTCGACTTCATCTTCGAGAAGGACTGCATCGTGAGCCGCTCCTGCTTCTTGTTCTCGGCCTTGTCGAGCTTCTTCTGCCGCCGGCGCTGGAGCGTCGTCCGCCCCTTGGCGGCGGCGGCCGACGCGCGGCCGCCGCCGTCGACGTCGTCGACGCCCCGGAGGTTCGGGATCACGGGCGGCGGCCGCCCGGCCTCGCGCGCGCGGCGGTGCACCTCCTCGATGATGCGCCGCTCCTGCGCGACGAAGAACGGGTCCTCCTCGTCGTCCTCGTCGTCGCTGTCCTCCTCCTCGTCGTCGACCATCTTGTCGAGGAGCACGGCGACGACGACGTTGAGCAGGATCGTCGTCACGGCCATGTAGTAGGTCCCGAGGAAGAGCCCCGTGCGGAAGGGCCCCGCGTTCGCGAGGAGCGGCCGCCCGACGGCCTCGAGGTACTCGTCCTCCGCCAAAATCTGCAGCATGGTGAACATGGCCTTGAAGAAGGTCCCGAAGTACTCGTGGCCGAACTCCTCGCCGCGCCGCGTGTACCAGGCCGGGCACGCGTCGAGCGCCGCCTCGTAGAATTCGCCGCCCGTCGCGTTCCACGCGAGCCGCCGGCTCCGCGCGCCCGCGGCGCCCTCGGCGCACCACTCGAACTCGACGTCGCCGTTCTTGCCGATGTGGCCGAAGAAGTCGACGCCTAAAATCGCGTAGATGCACATGACGATGAACAGGATGAGGCACGCGTTGAGCAGCCCCACGAGCGCGTTCGCCATCGACTCGATGATCTTCCGCAGCGACTCGACGCGCTTGAAGAGCCGGAAGACTCTCAAAGCCCGCACCATGCGCAGGTTCGACAGCGGGCCGGGCAGGGGCGTGTCGAAGAAGAAGAGCCAGGACGTCGTCACGGTGACGAAGTCGAAGACGTTCCAGTTCGACCGCCAGAAGTCGCGCCACCAGAACGCGACCATGTTGAAGGCGAGCTCGACCGTGAAGAGCGCGTTGAACGTGTTCTCGAGCGCGGTGAAGCGCCTGCGGTAGGCGCGCCCGCCGGGCACGGCCGGGTCCGCGGACGGCCAGAGCTGCTTCTCGACGATCGACATCACGAAATTCGCGACGATGAGCGTCGCGACGAGCACCTGGAAGGCGTGGTGCTCGTAGTACTCCTGGAGCCGCAACTTCCACCGCGGCTGGCTCGCCGCGCTGCCCGCCGCGACGAGGCCCGCGGTCTCGAGGTCCTTGAGCAGCACGGACGCGCGGTGCTCGATCTGCACGTGGCGGCGCCGCGTCGCGAGGGAGCTCGCGCGCCGCTTCTCGTAGGACGTCGGCGCGAGGTAGGTCGTCGACTGGCGCCGCTTCCGCCGCGCGGCGTGGATCGCCGCGACGGCCATGGCGCTCTACCTCGGTAGCGCCGGCGGCTCCGCCGCGGCCCGGCGGGCTGCCTCCCCCCTGTGGCGGCCCGCGGGCCCGCTCTGCCGCGCGCCGCGACGCTTTGGGCGGCGGCGGGTTCCGCGAGGGTTCTCGGCCGCTCAGGCCATCCCTCGGCGCCGCCTCAGCGCCGCGCGAAAAGGGCGCCCCACCTCTTTGGACGCGCTGCCCCGGGACGGCAAGACGGGACAGCGTCCGGATTTGGAAACTCCTTGCACTTCTCCTTGACGTTTACGCGAGGGCGCAGCCCTCGGGGTTTCGCCGGCGGCCCCGGCCGTTGAGGTGCGCCTTGACGTCGACGACGGCGTCGGCGAGGCGCCGGCGCTTGACGAGGGGCAGGTCGAGGTCGTCGAAGTCCTCGGGCTCGAGGTAGCGGAGGTCGTCGACGGACTTGGCGCCGAGCTCGCGGAGCTTCGGGAGCAGGTCCAGGCCCATGTCGAGGTCGACGAGGAAGGTCTCGAACTCCTCCGTCGACGCGTCGAGCTTCTCCGCCGCGTCGTCGGCGTTCTCGAGGAGCAGGTCCAGCACCGTGTAGCGCCGCGCCTTGCGCTGGTAGTGGTTCGACCGCGTCTCGAGGAGCGCGACCTTCTCCCGGAGCGCGCGCTGGCTCGCGGCGTGCTCGCTGATCTTCTCGTCGAGGCGGTCCTGGAGGTCGCGCTGCCAGGCCTCCTCGGACGCGAGGGCCGCCGTCGCGTCCTCGAGCTCCGCCTTCGCGCTCTCCGCCTCGTAGCCGAGCGCCGCGTTGACGTCGCGCTGCTCGCCGAGCTCGGCCTCGAGGGCGCCGACGCGGGCCCGCAGCCGCGTCGCGTCGGCGCGGTCGGCCACGGACCGGCGCCGGCACGCCTCGGCGCCCGCCTCGACCGCGGCCTCGGTGCCCTCGAGGCGCGCGACGCGCGCGCGGAGACCGCCGAGCTCCGCGGCCGTCGACGCGGCCGCGGCGTCGGCGCCGCGCTCCGCGGCGTCGAGGAGCGCGCGGCACGCCTCGAAGGACGACGCGACGCCGAAGGCCACGGCGGCGAACGCGTCGCGCGGCGCGCACGCGGCGCACGCGTCTCGCACGGCGTCCGCCGACACCGCGCCGCGGACGTGGCGCTCCGCGTCGTCGCCGTCGGCGTAGGCCAGGGCGCTCCCGTCGAGCGTCGCCCGCGCCCGGGGGCCCAGGGCGACGTCCTCGAGGCGCCGCGTGCACTCGCGGAGCCGCGCGCGCGCGGCGTCGCGCCGCGCGCGGAGCGCGGCGTCGCGCGCCGCGTCGCAGCGCGCGCGCGCCTCGCCGAGGGCGCGCCGGAGGTCGCCGCCGCCGCCGCCGACGACGTCGCCGCCGTGGGCCCGCAGCGCGTCGTCGCAGGCCCGGCAGCCCGCGACGTGCGCCGCGTGGAACGCGGCCTCGTCCTCCGCCGCGCCGCCGAGCGCGCGCGCGTGCGCGTCGCAGCCCCGGTCCACGGCCGTCGCCAGCTCCCGCCGCACGACGTCGGCCCAGGCCGTCTGGATCGTGGGGGTCGCGCCCTCGGCGAACGCGCGGACGTAGCGCGACACGAGCGCGCCGAACGTGCCGCCCCGGAGCGGCACGCCGTCGACGCGCTTCGGCTGCGCGCCGGCGAAGAGCCGCTCGCGGAGCGCGTCGAGCGCGCCGACGAAGGCGGGCCGCGGCGTGAGCGTCGCGCCGCCGTTCAGGGCCGCCTCGGAGTCGTGGGGCCGCGGCAGCGTCGCGCAGCCGCGCCGCGCGAAGTAGCCGAGGAGCGCGTGCCGCGTCGAGTCCTGGGACGAGTTGCCCCGCGGCGCCAGCGCGCGCTCGAGGTACGCGTCGCTGTCGATCGCCGTGCCGTCCTCGTCGACGAGGTCCAGGGCGAAGTCGCGCAGGACCCAGAGGAAGGCCGGCAGGTGCCGCGAGAGCTCGTGGCGCGCCTGGCTCGCGGCGACGGCGTCGTCGCGGTCCGCGCGCTCCGCGGGCCGCGCGCGCACGGACGCGCTGAGCCGCGCGACGAAGCCGAGGTTCGAGATGGCGTGCTCGTCGAGCGCGCCGAGCGAGTTGTAGGCGAGCGTCGACGCGAGCAGCGCGGCCAGCGAGAAGATCGTCGCGTCGTAGGACCCGTCGACGCCGAGGCCGCCGAGGCCCTCCGTGTCCAGGAGCAGCAGCGCCGCGGAGCTCCCGTCCTCGAGCGTGATCGCCGCCGGCCGGCCCCAGACCCAGATGCCCTTGGTGCAGCGCGACACGCCGTGGCCGACCGCGAAGCCGCCGGGCTTCTCCGGGTCGCGGAGCCAGTTGAGCAGCGACGACTTGCCGGACCGGTAGAGGCCGACGACGGTGACGACGCAGACGCGCTCCTCGATGGTCGAGAGGAGCTTCAGCGTGTCGTCGTTGGCGCTCATGGACCAGCCCGCCGGGCCCTCGCTCGGGCCCTCGCGCACCTCGACGAGCGGCAGCGCTGCATTCGGGAATTCCGCGTACATTTTTTTTTTTACGACCGCGTCGTCACGGCCGCGCGATCGACACACAGCGCGCGCGGCGCGCGGCGCGCGCGACGGCGTCCACAGCCCTGTACAAGTTGGATATCCGCCGAGTGATTCGGGGCTGCCTCGCCGCCCGTGGCCGGGGGGGTCGCTCAGGGGGTCGCTGGCCACCGCGGCCTGACCGCGGCGACCTCCCGTCACGGCGGCGAGCCGAAGCACTGAGCAAAGTCTTACTTGTCTAGTAAGTAGGAGGCTCGCGTTTCCCCGCACTCACTCCACTGTGACCTCCACGAGTTCCGACCGTGGCCCCGGGCGGGTCGGCCGGCTCCGGCGGACTCGGATCGAGCCGCACGAGCGCGCGTCGCACGCTCGCCTTGCTGACGCAGCGCTCCTCCTGCCACGCGCATCGCCGCCGGGCCCCGGCGTCGGCCCGCACCGCCGCGAGCGCGTCGCGCGCCGCGGCCACGTCGCCGGGCTTCGCGTCGGTCCGGTCGTGGGCCGCGACGGCCGCGAAGATCGAATCCAGCGCCGTCGCGTTCGCGCGCGCGGACGCGCAGAGCGCCTCCGTCGCGATCCCGGCGCACTCGTCGCCGCAGGGCGTCGCGGATTCGGCGAGCGCGGTGAAGCGGACCTCGTCGACGCCGCGCGACAGGTCCCGCTCCGCGTTCTCGGCGTTGCGCCCAAAGGCCTCCGTGCGATCCAGGCCCTTGACGCGCTCGTGCGCCAGCGCCGTGTAGCGACCAATGTTTCCATCCAGCTTCCCGTAGCCCATGTGCTTGCGCACGCGCCAGCCCATGTTGTGGTCCTCCATGCCCCAGCCCTCGAAGAGGTTCGAGTAGCCGCCGACGTCCGAGTACTCCGCGTGCGAGATCTGGAACGCGCCGCCGACGACGTGCGACTCGTTGGACGAGACCTTGTACTGCCACTGCGACGTCGCGCCGAGGAGCAGCGTCGGCTCGTCGCGCCACGCGTACGCGTTCTCGCGGCGCTCGGGCACCTGGTCGACGTCTTGGAGCACCATGTAGTCGTGGCTCGCCTTCGTCATCTGGTAGCCCACGTTGAAGAGCGAGCCCTTGTTGAACGCGCCGTCCGGCGACTGCTCGACGACGACGACGTCGAAGGGGACGTCGACGAACGCGCACATGTACCTTCCGAACTCGTCGAGATTCCGCGACCGGCCGATGCCCTGCGAGAGCGTGTCCGCGCCGCCGTCGTCGCGGAAGGGCACGACGATCGCGAGGCGGTGGGGGGCGTCGCGCAGCGGCGCCGTCATCCGCCGGTGGATCCGCCGCCGCGACGCGAGCGCCCGGGCCTCGGCGAGCGTCTTCGTCGCGGCGTCCGCCTCGAGCCGCGCGATCCTTTTTTGGGCCGTCTCGAGGCTTCGAGATAAGGGTTTCACCGCCGCAGCCTCGGCCTGGCGGCGATCGAACGCGAGTTTCCGTAGCTGCTCGGCCCGGAGCCGCTCGCGCTCCGCCGCGGCCGCGGCCTCGACGCGCTCGGCCTCGCGCGTCGCCGCCGCGGCGTCGGCGCCGGCCTTGCACCGCGCGGCCTCGGCCTCGGCCTCGGCCTCGGCTTTGAGCAGCTCGATCTCGGCCTCCAATGCGCTCGCGAGCCGAGCCTCCAAATCGCGAGCCCTATGTCGCTGGCGCTGGATCACTCGCTCTTTTTGGCGGATGAAGTGATATGCTCCATTAAAAAGCATACAACAAAAAATCGAAGCGAAGGCGAACACACAAACATCCTTCACTCGTAAACGCATCGCCTGGCCCGATTTTTTGTCACGACGACCGGCTGACCACGCCTCAATTAGCGACTACTAAAGTAGGTAATTTCACGACTCGCCGCCAGTTGCCGGGGGTCGCTGGCCACCGCGGTGACCCGGCCTCCCGTGGCGAGCCGAAGTCTAAAGTAGGAGGCTCGCGTATCCCCGCCTAGCGTGACGCCGGCGCCGGCGGATCGAGCCGCACGAGCGCGCGTCGCACGCTCGCCTTGCTGACGCAGCGCCCCTCCTGCCACGCGCATCGCCGCCGGGCCCCGGCGTCGGCCCGGATCGCCGCGAGCGCGTCGCGCGCCGCGGCCACGTCGCCGGGCTTCGCGCCGGTCCGGTCGTGCGCCGCGACGGCCGCGAAGATCGAATCCAGCGCCGTCGCGTCCGCGCGCGCGGACGCGCAGAGCGCCTCCGTCGCGATCCCGGCGCATTCGTCGCCGCAGGGCGTCGCGGTCTCGGCGAGCGCGGTGAAGCGGATTTCGTCGACGCCGCGCGACAGGTCCCGCTCCGCGTTCTCGGCGTTGCGACCGTACTGCTCCGTGAGATCCAAACCCATGACGCGCGTGTGCGCCAGCGCCGTGTAGCGGCCCACGGGTCCGTCCAGCTTCCCGTAGCCCATGTGCTTGCGCACGCGCCAGCCCATGTTGTGGTCCTCCATGCCCCAGCCCACGAAGAGGTTCGAGTAGCCGCCGACGTCCGAGTACTCCGCGTGCGAGATCTGGAAAGCGCCGCCGACGATGTTCGAATTCGGAGAGGGCCCGTACTGCCACTGCGACGTCGAGCCGAGCAACAGCGTCGGCTCGTCGCGCCACGCGTACGCGTTGTCGCGACGCTCGGGCACCTGGTCGACGTCTTGGAGCACCATGTAGTCGTGGCTCGCCTTCGTCAGCTGGTATCCCACGTTGAAGAGCGAGCCCTTGTTGAACGCGCCGTCCGGCGACTGCTCGACGACGACGACGTCGAAGGGGACGTCGACGAACGCGCACATGTACTTTCCGAACTCGTCCAGATTCCGCGACCGGCCGATGCCCTGCGAGAGCTTGTCCGCGCCGCCGTCGTCGCGGAAGGGCACGACGATTGCGAGGCGGTGGGGGGCGTCGCGCAGCGGCGCCGTCATCCGCCGGTGGCTCCGCCGCCGCGACTCGAGCGCCTGGGCCTCGGCGAGCGTCTTTTTCGCGTCGTCCTTCTGGAGCTGCGCGATCTTTTTTTTGGCCGCCGCGGCCCCGGCCTCGAGGCTTCGAGCCGTGCGCGTCGCCGCCGCAGCCTCGGCCTGGAGGCGATCGAACGCGAGTTTCTGTAGCTGCTCGGCCCGGAGCCGCTCGCGCTCCGCCGCGGCCGCGTCCGCGACGCGCTCGGCCTCGCACGTCGCCGCCGCGGCGTCGGCGCCGGCCTTGAACCGCGCGGCCTCGGCCTCGGCCTCGGCCTCGGCTTTGAGCAGCTCGATCTCGGCCTCCAATGCGCGCCCGAGCCGAGCCTCCAACGCGCGAGCCCGGTCGGCGTGTTGCTCGATCACTCGCTGGTTTTGGCGGATCACGTTGTATGCTCCGAATAGAAGAATCGACCCGAAGCCGAACACAAGAACATCCTTCACTCGTTTCCGCATCGCCGATCGGCTAGTTCGCCGTCAGACGCCCGGGAGATGATGACTATGTAAATTTGACGAGCCACAACGAGTCAACTCGCTCAAAATCCCACGCCACCACAGGTCGCACGCGGCCTACTCCTCCCCGCCGAGTTCCTCGCGGCCGACGACCGCACGGGTCGGCCTCGTCTTCGGCGAAGCGACACCCTCCGTAGGCCCTCCCCGTTACCTCGACACGATCCTCCCCGGCGCGGCGTCGAGGGCGTCGACGTCGATGTGGTCGATGACCTCGACGTCGAAGACGTCCGGCGCGCCCTCGATGCGGAGCTTGTAGTCCATGTCGAGCGTGTCGACGGAGACGCACGTCGCGCCCGGGTGGTAGCGGCGGAAGCTGCCGCGCTTGGGCTTGCGCCGCGGCCGCGCGTCGAGGGCCGCGCGCGTCGCCTCGAGGTCGGAGAACAGGCGCGTGACCTTGAACTCGAGGTCCTTGCGGGACGCCGCGTGCCGCGCCTCGTCCGCGTCGCGCGTCGCCAGGGTGTCGTCCAGGCGCTTCTGGAGCTCGCGCTGCCACGACTCCTCGTTCGCCAGCGCCGCCGCCGCGTCCTCGAGCTCCGCCGCCCGCAGCTGCGCGTCCCGGACCAGGGCCTGGTTCCGCTCCCGCGCGCGGCGCGCGTCGGCCTCGACGGCGGCGAGCCGCGCGGTCAAGAGCGCGTGCTCGCCCGTCGACGTCGCGCGCTGGCGCATCGCGTCCTCCGTCGCGTCGCGCAGGGCCGCGGCGCCGGCCTCGAGGCGCGCGACGCGGGCCCGGAGCGCGTCGTTCTCCTCGCGGAGGTGGAAGCGCCGCTTCTCGCCGCGCGCGTCGGCGGCGTCGTGGACCGCGCGCGCGGCGCGCGACGCGAGCGCGACGGCCGCCGCCGGCAGCGCCGCCGCGTCGCCCGCGCGACGCGCGAGGGGCGCGAGCTCTTGGACGAGGCCCAGGACGGCGGCCTCGGCCTCGGCGTCGTCGGCCCAGCCCCGGCCCGCGCGCGCGTCGCGCTCCAAGGGCGCGATGTCCGAGCTCTGCAGCGCGGCCTCGAGGGCCTTCCCCGCCTCGCGCCGCCGCTGCGCGAGGCGGTCGTCGTAGACCGCGTCGCAGGCCGTCCTCGCGCGGTCGAGCGCGGCCGCGAAGGCCGCGGCCTCGCCGCTCCGCAGAAAGTCGCCGCAGCGCCGGCGCAGCGTGTCCTCGCAGGCGCGGCAGCCGCGCACGTGCGCCCGCGCGAGGTCGTCGTCGGCGCCGTCGAGCGCCCGCGCGTGCGCCTCGCGGCCCAGGCGCGCCGCGTCCTCGAGTTCGCGCCGCGCGACGTCCGCCCAGGCCGTCGTCATCGTCGGCAGGGCCCCGTTCGCGAACGCGTCGCACAGGGCGCCGACGACGCCGGCGAAGGTCGCGCCCCGGAGCGGCACGCCGTCGACGGTCTTCGGCGCTGCGCGCGAGAAGAGCCGCTCGCGGAGCGCGTCCAACGCGGCCACGAACTCAGGCCGCGGCACCGAGGGTTCGCCGCCGTTCAGGGCCGCCTCGGAGTCGTGGGGCCGCGGCAGCGTCGCGCAGCCGCGCCGCGCAAAGTAGCCGAGGAGCGCGTGCCGCGTCGAGTCCTGGGACGAGTTGCCCCGCGGCGCCAGCGCGCGCTCGAGGTACGCGTCGCTGTCGATCGCCTTGCCGTCCTCGTCGACGAGGTCCAGGGCGAAGTCGCGCAGGACCCAGAGGAAGGCCGGCAGGTGCCGCGAGAGCTCGTGGCGCGCCTGGCTCTCGGCGTCGGCGTCGTCGCCGCGCGCCGCGGGCCGCGCGCGCACGGAGGCGCTGAGCCGCGCGACGAAGCCGACGTCCGCGATCGCCCGCTCGTCGAGCGCGCCGAGCGAGTTGTAGGCAACGGTAGAAGAGAGCAGCGCGGCCAGCGCGAAGATCGTCGCCTACCGCACGCGTCGGTAACGATCTTTCATTGTTTTCCCACCCCAAATCTCTCGAAAATCGTCACGGATGCAGGACGCTGATCGTCGCGTCGTAGGACCCGTCGACGCCGAGGCCGCCGAGGCCCTCCGTGTCCAGGAGCAGCAGCGCCGCGCTCGTTCCGTCTTTCAGAGTCACGGGCGTCGGCCGGCCCCAGACCCAGATGCCCTTCGTGCAGCGCGACACGCCGTGGCCGACCGCGAAGCCGCCCCGGTTAGAGGGATCACGGATCCAGTTGAGCAGCGACGACTTGCCCGACCGGTAGCGCCCGCACAGCGCGACGACGCACAGGCGCTCCTCGATGGTCGATAACAGCTTGAGCGTGTCTGGGTTTGCTCGAAGACTCGAGTCTTCAGTCACTTCGACGAGCGGCAGCGGCGCGTCCGGGAACCGGTCGTAGGCCTCCATCGCGGTGATCAAGACGCTGCCCTCGCCATCGGCCGTTCGAACTGCACCGCTGGCCTGGGGGCAGCCTTGTGCGAGCTTTTGATTGGGTGGAGTAGTTTGAACGCGACGCCGATGGCTGAGGAGCGTGGCAGCCTCAATGATGCGCTACTCGACGGCGCGGCGCCCAAGGAGGCGGCGCATCCGCGGCGCTGGGTCGCCGTGGGGCTGACGGCGTGCGGGTCGGCGATGAACGCCTTCCAGTTCATGAACTTCAGTCCCATCGCCGACCTCTCGACGGGCGTCCTCTCGGCGACGACGGGGCAGGTGAGCTGGCTCTACAGCGCGTCGCTCCTGAGCGTGCTGCCGGCCTTCTTCCTCGCCGTGCGCTGGACGTCGGCGCCGGCGACGCAGCGCGGCGCGCTCCGGGCGATGCACGGCCTCAACCTCGCGGCGGCGCTGCTCCGCGCGGGCAGCGCCTACGTGGGCTCCTACGCCCTGGCCATGGCGTCGAGCGTGCTCCTCGGCGTCGCGGCGAGCTTCGTCATCTCGGCCTTCACGTCCGTGTCCCAGCGCTGGCTCCCCGCGGCCGAGCGGCCGCTCGGCGTGTCGCTCACCGTGCAGGCGAACTACTTCGGCTGGCTCCTCGGCGCGGTGCTCGTGCCCTACGCCTGCGTCGCCAAGGGCGGCCTCGTGCGGCTGCTCGAGGTCCAGGCCGCCGCCGCGGGCCTCCTCTTCGCGCTCGCCGCGTTCGGCGCGCCGGAGCCGCCCGCGGACGGCGGCGGCGGCGCCGTCGCCGCGGAGGTCGCCGCGGCGGACCTCGACGTCGCGCCGCCGTCGCCCAAGTTCGGCCTGACCACGGCGGTGAGGGAGCTCGCCGCGCGGCCGCGCTGGCTCGCGTCCTGCGCGGCCTACGCGCTCGCGGGCGGCGTCGGCTTCGCGGTGCCCGCCGCGCAGGACATCGTCTTCGACGAGGCCTGCGCCTTCTCGCCCAAGGTCACGGCCCTCGCGAACGCGGCCTTCATCGCGGCGGGCGTCGTCACGGGCCTCGCCCTCGGCTTCGCCCACGACGCCGTGGAGCGGCGCGAGGCGGGCTGCCTCCTCGGCCTCCTGGGTTTGGGCGTCGCGGCGATCGCCGGCCTCGCGGGCGCCGTGCTGCCCACGGGCCTCGTGCCGGCCTGCGACGAGTACGCCTGCGTGGGGCTCATGGCCGCGGCGGGCGCGTCGACCATCGGCTTCGTCGGCCTCGCGCTCGGCGAGGCGGGCAAGTCCGCGGGGCCGAATCCGGCCGCGCGCGTCTTCTCCGGCGGCTGCGTCGAGTGGTGGCTCCAGGTCTGCGGCGCCGCCATCACGCAGGTCGCGTCGAACAGGCGCGGCTTCGAGACGTGCGCCGCGTTCCAGGGCGCGGCGCTCGCCGCCGGCGCGGTAGCGCTCCTCGGCCTCCGGCGCGACTAACGTTGAAGGCAGCGCGCTTAGTCGCGCTTCTCCCCCTTCGCGGGGGCGGCGATGCCGCGGTTGAGGAGGAAGGACGCGACGAACAGGTTCGCGAGGGACGCGGCGATGAGGTAGGGGAACGTGGCCGCGCCGGAGAAGACCGCCGACGCGCCGAACATGAGGAGGGACGCCGCGGACGTGCGCTTGTTCTGCTCCGCGAAGAGCGCGAGGCACGCGTCGTCGCCGCTCGCCGCGGTCTGGAGGACCTCGCGCTCCACCAAATCGAAGGCCCAGAGGCCCAGGCGGCTGACGACGAGGGACCCGAGGAAGACCGCGCTCCGCCCGGAGACGAGCGCCGCGACGCCGAGCGCGTTCGCGCCGAGCTGGAGCGCGTTCGAGCCGCGCGCGGCGCCCGGCAGGCCCAGGGCCGCGATGAGTTTCGGGGTCGCGTAGGTCGCCGCGAGGCCCGCGGCCTGCGCCGCCGTCTGGAACGCGCCGATGAGCGTCGCGTCCATCCGGCGGACGCCGCGGAGCCACGCGATCGTCACGCCGTGCGGGCTCAGGACCGTGAAGTAGAGGAGGCAGTAGCAGTCCATGGTCCCCCGCGCGAAGGGGCTCAACCGTTTCAGCGTCTCCTTGGCGCCCAGGATGGCGCTGCCCGACGGCGTCCGCGCGGGCGCCGCGGGCTTGGCGTCGGGCTTTTTCCCGTGGTCGTCCAGGGTCGCGTGGAACCGCGTCGCGCAGCCCAGCACGCCGAAGCAGCCCAGCACGTGGAGCAACGCGAAGGCCTTGGCCGCGCCGACGTTGCCCAGCTTCGACGCGCAGGCGCCGACGACGACGGGCGTCGCGAGCGCGACGACCATGTCGAGGCGCACGAGCGCCGCGTTCGTCGTCGCCAGCAGCCCCTTCGCCTGCTTCGAGCCGCCGACGGCGCCCGTCAGGGCGCGCACGGAGACCTTGCCGACCAGAGTCCGGAGCGCGTCGGAGCACACGGCGTCGACGCCGAAGCACGCCGCGCTGAGCCAGAAGACGGGCTTGCTGAGGAACGCGCCGCCGGCCGCCGTCGAGCAGAACGCGCCGAGGAGCACGCCCGCGTTCTCGCAGAGGAGCAACAGCCAGAGCACGGTGCGCGCGCCGCGCCGCTCGCAGGCGTCGGCGACGGACGTCGAGAAGAGCATGCCCGCGAGGTGCCGCGCGACTTCGATGACCGCGACGGGCGCGACGGAATCCGGCGACAGCTCCGCGAGGTAGAGCGGCAGGAAGAGGCCCCAGATGCGGTCGCCGACGCACTGGCAGACGTGCGCGCCCATCATGTAGCGCGACGCCGCCAGCTCCCAGTCGCCGCCGCCGGACGAGGGAGACCGCAGCTGCACGGGCTTGATCGCCATGGCTTCCCGAAGCGTTCGAGGCGGGCTCGGTTGGGGCGCTTGAAGGAGGCGATGCGGTTCGGACGGCCGCGACTGCGCGAGGTCGTCGACGCGGTGCTGCTGTCCTACGGCTGGCGGAGGCGCTCGGCGGTCCTTGTAGTTGCTGGGACTGAGTGCCAGAGGCGAAGGCCGTCACGCGCCATCGACTTTTGGACGCGTGGACTTGCACTTCATCGTGCCGGCACTTTAATCCGATGGAGCCCCGATTGGTTATGGTACAGCTCCGAGCGTCGTGCGACGTTTCCTCGATGGAGCCCCGGCCGGCCATGGTACATCTCTGAGCGGCTGCCTACCCACAACACTTGCCCAATCGGGACCGCGGCGCAGCTCGATGGACGCGCCCTACAGCCCCGCGACCCTCGAAGGCCTGACGAACGCGGAGTTGCGGGCCATCGCGGCGCGCGCCGGCGCCATTACGGCGCGCCGCGCGTCCAAGACGCCCTACCCGTCGCGCGTGCCGCCATCGCTCATCCTCCAGTTCCTCCCGCTCGATTCCGTCGCCCGGGCCCTGCGCGTGTCGGCGACGTGGCGCGGCCAGGCGGAGCCGACGTTCCGCGGAATCGCCGAGCGCTCGGGCCACGCGCGGCAGGCCGGCGGGACCTGGCGCGACGCGGTGCGCGACCGGGTCGCGGGCCTTTACTGGGAGGAGATTCTCGACTGGGACCCGGACAACGGCGACAACTTCTTCGACAGCATGAAGGACCACCCGGAATGGCCCCGCGGCGCCGTCAATAACGCGCGGGGCGAGGGCGACTGCTTCGTCGTGGGCAAGGGCGTGGCGCTGGACGTCGACGCCGAGGACGTGATCGAGTTCGACGTGCAAATAAGACGGCTGTTCCAGCGGGACTTTTTGGTGGTCGACGCCGTCGGCGTCGCGCTCCTCGACGACGCCGCCCGCGACGTCCGCAAGGTCTATCTCTGGAACAGCGACGGCGGGCGCTGCGGCGTCGGCCCGGAGGGAAGGACGACGGAGTTCACGTACAACGCCCGCTTTGAGAAGGACGCGATCCTCCGAATCACTGTCGCCCGCGAAGCACAAACCGGCATCAGAATGCAGCTCTCGAAGCGGGGCCGGGACCCGGACAAAACGACGTTCCTCACCAAGAACAACGTCGGTTTCCACCGGCGCAGCCCCCTCGTCTTCGCGCCCATCGTGCGCCTCTTCCAGGGCTCCTCAGCCAAGCTCCTCCGCGTGGCGCGCCGCGTGCCGCTGACTCACAAGCGCGCGCGGCCGCGCGCGAGGGCCTCGCCTTCGTGACCTCGTAACTCGGTGTGTTGTGTGACCACCGTGACTGCCCGGCTCTATGGCCGGCGAGTACAGCCAGCCTCACAGCCAGTCACGCCGCGGGCGGCGTTATGGTCGGCGCGAGGTTCGCGCGCGCGCGCGCGTCGCGGATGAGCGCGAGGAGGTCGGACCGCTCGATGGCCGAGGACGCGTCGACGCCGCGGCTCTTGAGCTCGGCCTTGATCTGGCGGTTCGACATGGCCGCCGGGTCCGTGCCCAGCTCGGCCATGCGCGCGGCGTTGGCCGCGAAGGCCTCGGCGACCGAGACCTCGTCCGTGCGGCTCGCGTTCGCCTCCTTGGCCTGGGACGCCCCGGCCGCGGACGCGTCCGCCGCCTTCGACGCCCGCTTGCCCGCGATGTCGGCCTTGACCTTCTCGAACGCGTCGCTCTCCTCGGGGTATTCCAGGCGCACCGTCGTCGCCTCGCCCGCGTGGTTCGTGAGGTCGACCTGCGAGCCCGAGATGTCGATCATCGCCCGCGCCCGCACCAAGAGGTCCAGCCCGAGGATGGCCTCGAAGTCGACGGCCGACTCGGGCCAGCGCATGACGTCGAAGGCCGCGTGGAACGGCACGCCGTCGAACGAGATCTCCGCGTACTGGACGCGCCCGAGACCCTGGGCCGTGCCGACGCCCCTGACGGTCCTCGAAAAGCTGCCGTCGATCAAGGCGCGAAGCCCGCAGCGGTCCGCGGCGTCGATGGACATGCCCGAGCGCTCCGCGCCCGTGTCGAGGAGCGCGGCGACCGTCTCGCCGCCGAGCGAAAAGGTCACGGTGCGGAGCGCGTGCGATCGGAGCATGCCGTGCACGAGGCCCTTCTGCAGGTTCGTCGGCGCGTCCGACGCCCAGGCCGGGTGCGCGGCCTTGAGCCGCGCCGCCGCGCGCTGGGCGAGCCGGTCCTTGGCGCCGGGCACGGGCGGCGCGTCCCGCGCCGCGAGCTTCTCGCGCGCCGTCGCGAACTGGACCCGCAGGGCCCGCGCGGCCGCGGGCGCGTCGCCGGACTCCTCGGCCTTGCAGTAGAGCAGGGGCGCGTGCTCGCGCATGAGCGCCTCGAAGTCGTCGTCGGAGAGGCCGTCGCCGGCGCCCGGCGCCTCCTGGAACTCGGCGAAGCAGCGCTGCAGCTCTCGCCGGTCCTCGGCGGACGCGCCGGCGCCCATGCTAGATGAAGAGGCTGCGGCTCAGGTCGTCGACGAGGGCGGACCGCGACGCCCGCTCGAGGCGCCGGAGCTTGTCGCAGGACGCGGCGTGCGCGGCGTGCGCGAGGGGCGGGTCCTCGGCGAAGTACGCCGCCACCACCGGCCCGAGGTCGCCCGGCTCCAGAAACGCAAAGGCCGCGCTCAGCGTCGAGTTGCGCCGCCAGCGGCGCCACCAGCGCCGCAGGAGGCCGCAGAGCGGGCCGGTGACGACGCCCGACTCCGCCAAGAAGCCGAGGGCCGCGCCGTCGAGAAAGTCGACGACCTCCTTGACCTCGTCGTCGCCGAGGAAGTCGAAGCGACTCGTGTTGCGCGAGGAGCCCGCGCGGGAGGCGCGCTGGGAGAATGGGCTGCCACCTAGCGCATAAGCTGGAGCTTCAATGCCTCTTCACCGTTTCGAGGTGCACCGCTTCGCTATGGCTGCTATGAAGCCTCGCCGCAGTATCGCGCTCCTCTGCGCGCTCCTCGCGACGCAAAGTGCGGCCATGCCGCGGTCCGCGAACCGGTCGCCGAAGCGCGAGGCGAGCAGCGCGCGGCAGCGGCGCTTCTACGACCGCGGCTGCCTCTTCTCCCCCGAGGGCCGCATCTACCAGGTCGAGTACGCGTCCAAGGCCGTGGAGCGCGGCTCCTTCGCCGTGGGCGTCCTGGGCCCCCGCGGCGTCGCCCTCGCGGCCGTGCGGAGCGCGGGCCTCCGTTCCACGCCGGAGCCGCTCCTGTCGCCGAATTGGTGCGAGCGCGTGCACCGCGTCGACGAGCGGATCTGGTGCGTGGCCTGCGGCGTCGTGCCCGACGCGACGACGCTCCTGCGGGCCCTGCGCGAGTTCGCCGCGGAGCACCGCAAGACCTGGGGCGAGGCGCCGCCCGTGGAGGTCGTCGCGAAGCAGCTGAGCCGCCACGCGCAAAAGCTCACGCAGCGCGCCGGCGGCCGGCCCTTCGGCGCGGCCTTCCTCCTCGCGGGCTTCGACGACGGCTCCGACGCGCCGCGGCTCTTCAAGACGGACCCGGGGGGGACCTACGAGGCCTGCGAGGCCGGCGGCTTCGCGACGGCCGGGGCCGCGCCGGACGACGTGCTCGACGCGCTCGACGCCGCGGACCTCGCGGACGCGGACGGCGCCGCGCTCCAGCGCGCGGCCTGCGCCGCGGCCTTCGACGCCGCCGTCGCGAGCCCGCCGCAAGGCCGCGACGGCGCCCGCGCGTCCGACGTCGAGGTCTGCGCGCTCGACGCGGCCGGCGGCCGCTTTCTCAAGGACGACGAGGTCCGCGCGCTCTTCGACGCGCGCGAGAAGTCGCGCGAGGCGCCCGAGTAGCAGAAAAAACGTAGACGGGCACCAGGTCCACGACCAAAACCCGATGGTCGCTGGGCCCGAGTAGCAGAAAAAAACTTAGACGGGCACCAGGTCCACGACCAAAACCCGATGGTCGCTGGGCCGGTGGCCCTTGGCGCCGGGGACCTCGTCGCAGCCCAGGACCCACGCGCGGTCCGCGCGGAGCTTCGTCGACCGCACGAGGACGCGGTCCGGCCGCGCCGGGTCCAGGTCCATGGTCTCCGGGTTCGGGAACGTGAAGCCCGCCTCGTGCGCGCCGCGGGCCGCCTCCCACGCGTCGAAAAAGTCCGGCTCCGCGCGCGGCTTCGGCGCGGGCTCCGCGCGGCGCCCGACGTCCGCGGCGAGCGCCGCGACGTTCTTCTCGCGCGTGGCGTGGTCCTCGTCGCAGGGCCCGCCGACGGCCGCGGCGACGGGGGCCGACAGCGTGAGCGCGTCCGTCGGCCACTCGTAGTCCGGGTACGTGTTGAGGTCGCCGACGACGACCTGGCCGAGCGTGTTCTCTTTGTCGTCGTCGTAGCCGGCCCAGAGGTCGTCGAGCCAGGGCCGGAGCCGCTCCTGGACGCTCGAGCACTGCTGGAGCCGGTCGTAGCTCAGGTGCGTCGCGACGACGCGGAGCGGCGCGCCGAGCGGCGTCTCCGCGACGACGCCGAGCGCCGTGCGCGGGTTCCGGTCGCTGGATCGCGCGAGCGGCGGCATCGCGCAGGTCTCGGCGTAAAAGTCGTTGAGCGGCAACCGGCTCAGCACCGCGACGCCCTCCTCGGTCCAGCCGTCGGGCGCGCGGCCGCCGATGCCGTGGTCGCCCGTGCCCGGCACGTAGGCCGCGTGCGGCATCGCGTAGCCCGCGGACTCGAGCTCCGCCGCGAGCTCCGCGGCCCAGGTGCCGCCGGAGCGTCCCTGGCCCCGCACCTCCTGCAGCGCGACGACGTCGGGCGCCGCGCCCTTGAGGAGCGCCGCGAGCGCGGCGCGCCGCGTCGCCCACGTGTCCGCCGCGGGCTGCCAGACGTTGAGCGAGACGACGCGCACGCCGTTCTTCGGCCGCGCGGCCGGCGGCGCGTCGCAGAAGTCGTTGGCGCGGTAGCGGTCGCGCGGCGAGTCCGCGAGCGGGCTCTCGGGCGCGTCGACGAGCTGCTGCCGCGCGTCCTCGCGGGTCATGGCCGCGAGGCGCCGGCCGAGGACGTCGACGGCCTGCGCCGACACGCCGCCGTCCATGGGCGTGCCCCGCATGCCCGGGCTCCGCCGCCGCTGGAGCTCGCCGGCCTCGAGCGCGATCGCGCGCGGCTCCGGCGCGACGGCGAGCGGGTCGCCCGCGGGCGGCGGCGGCCGCTTCTGCTTCCGCGCCGCGACGCGCGCCTGGACGCGCGAAAACGTGTCGGCGAGCTCGCCGCGCAGCGCGGCCGCCGCCGCCGCGTGGAACTCGGCCGTCACCGACTCCGCGAGCGGCTGCACCGCGCCGTGGTGGTGGTGGTGGTCCCACTTGCTCGGCGGCGGCTCGACGTGCTTGACGGGCTTGTCCGCTTTCCGCTTCGTCTTTTCCAGGCGCTTCAGCTCGCGGCCCGACGGGCCCAGCGCGTGAAAAAAGATGAGGTAGGCGACCACGAACGCGGCGACGACGCCGCCGCAGACCTGCCACGGCCGCCTCCGTCGTTTGTCGTACTTTTTGCCGTCGTCGAGCATGCCGTGGGGGCTGCCGCCCTCGAGATGGTCGAGCTGGGTTCGCTGGCGCATCGTTGCGCGGCGCGAGTCACGCAGATCTTCCGCGACGACCTCGCGGCGAGCGCCTCGTCACGTGCGGCCGCGAGGCCGTCGTGCGCTACACGGACCAGCAGCCCGCGGCGACGCAGCGCTCGGCGTTTTTGTGGCTTTTCGTTCGTATTTCGGCGAACGCTTGGTTGCAGTGAGATTGCAGCGCAGCATACAGCCAGCGCCTCAGCCGCGCTTGCCGCAGCGGCGCGAACGCCGCCGCGCGAGCCGTCGAGGTCCGCAACAGCGTAGAATCGCCACAAAAGCCATGAAGTTCCGCCCGTGCATCGACCTGCACAGCGGCAAGGTGAAGCAGATCGTCGGCGGCACTTTGCGCGACGACGGCAACGAGGCGGCGGAGAACTTCGTGAGCGAGCTGACGGCGGCGCACTACGCGGAGATGTACCGCGCGGACGGCCTCACGGGCGGCCACGTCATCATGCTCGGCCCCGGCAACCGCGACGCGGCGATGGACGCGGTCCGCGCGTATCCGGGCGGGCTCCAGGTCGGCGGCGGCGTCACGGCGGCCAACGCGGTCGAGTGGCTCGACGCCGGCGCGAGCCACGTCATCGTCACGTCGAGCGTCTTCGAGGGCGGCGAGCTCTCCGAGGCGCGGCTCGACGCGCTCGTCGCGGCCGTCGGCCGCGACCGGCTCGTGCTCGACCTGAGCTGCCGCAAGCGGGGCGGCGCCTACCACGTCGTCACGGACCGCTGGCAGACCTTCACGTCGCTCGTCGTCGACGCGCCGACCCTCGCGACCCTCGGGGCGCGCTGCGCGGAGCTCCTCGTCCACGGCGTCGACGTCGAGGGCACCAAGGTCGGCATCGACGACGCGCTCGTCGAGCTCCTCGGCGCCCACTCGCCCGTGCCCGTGACCTACGCCGGCGGCGCCCACTGCCTCGCGGACCTCGACCGCGTGAAGGCCCTGGGCCGGGGCAAGGTCGACCTCACGATCGGCTCCGCGCTCTCGATCTTCGGCGGCGACGTGCCCTACGAGGACGTCATCGCGTGGCACAAGGCGCAGCAGTAGGGGGGCGCTAAAGCATGGCGTGGTCCCTTCCCCTGCCGCCGGCTCGAACCGCAAGGTCTACTCCTGGGTCAACTACGGGCCCAGTGGGCCAGGCGCCCGGCGGGGACTCGATCTCGGGGACCCGAGGGACTTCTCGAACCCCGCCACGGGCCCCAGCCCCTGCCTGACATTATTATTAACCCATGAAAAAGCGGGTTTAGACTTAAAGAATGCCCGGGTTTAGACTTAAAGGGGACGCACTGGCGTCCGGGACGCAGGCCGGGACGGGAGCTACAAGCTTCAAGAACCCCTTCAAGAAACCTGCCGAATCGCGTGTGGTTGAAGCTCGAAGCGCATCGAATCGGCCTCGCTCGGCTCGAATTGCGACGTCGGCCGCCAATTTACGACCATGATGCGCGCGCCCCTGATCCTCCTGGGCCTCGCGGCGGCCTGCGACGCGCTCATGAGCGCGGCCCGGCCCCGCGCGGCCCGCCCCGCCCTGCGCATGGGCGCGGAGAAGACGTGGAGCGCCGCGGACATCGACTGGACGGCGTCGCACATCTCGGGCCAGCGCGACATCGACTACGGCCCGCTTCTCGGCGAGAAGCACAACGGCAAGTACTGCGAGTCGCTGCGCGAGGTCGTGCGGCGGAAGACGCGGACCGTGACCGCGGGCCCCGTGTCGTTCGGGTCCGACCACAAGATCGTCCGCCAGACCATGGGCACGACGTCGACGCGCGACGTCGCGGGGACCATCGACCAGGTCATGCGCTGCTCCGACGCGGGCTTCGACCTCTTCCGCCTCACGGTCGTGGGCATGAAGGAGGCGACGGCGTGCCACGACATCCGCGAGGGCCTCTTCAAGAAGGGCTACGACATCCCGCTCTGCGCGGACATGCACTTCCAGCCCAAGGTGGCCATGAAGACGGCGGAGGCCGTGGAGAAGATCCGCATCAACCCGGGCAACTTCGCCGACGGCCGCAAGGTCGACGAGGACACGGTGTCCTACGAGACGGAGGAGGACTACCTCCGGGACCGCGACAACATCGTCGAGCAGTTCGCGCCCCTCGTGCTCAAGTGCAAGGAGCTCAACCGGGCCATGCGCATCGGCACGAACCACGGCTCCCTGAGCGCCCGCGTCCTCTCCTTCTTCGGCGACAGCTCGCGGGGCATGGTCGAGTCGGCCGTCGAGTTCGCGGACATCTGCCGGTCGCTCGACTACCACAACTTCGTCTTCTCCATGAAGGCGTCGAACCCCGTCGTCATGATCCAGGGCTACCGCCTCCTCGCCGCGGAGCAGTACCGCCTGGGCTGGGACTACCCGCTGCACCTCGGCGTCACGGAGGCGGGCGAGGGCGAGGACGGCCGCATGAAGTCGGCCATCGGCATCGGCACGCTCCTCGGCGACGGCCTCGGCGACACGATCCGCGTGTCCCTCACGGAGGACCCGGAGTACGAGTACGCGCCCTGCAACCGCCTCGCGGAGCTGAGCGAGGCCAACGAGCTGCCGCCCGCGAAGAAGGCGCAGCTCGCCGTGCCCGAGTATTCGGACACGCGCGACGTCACGATGTTCGACCGGCGCCGCGGCTTCCTGCCGGCCCAGCGCGAGGGCGACCAGCACGACTACCGGGGCCTCCTGCACCGCGACGGCTCCGTGCTCTCCTTCATCTCCGCGGAGGAGCTGAAGACGCTCGGCGAGCTCGGGCCCTTCGGCGCGTCCGCGCTCTTCCGCGCGCTGGGCGCCAAGACGGTCGACGGGCCCGGCGGGGCGTCGCTGCCCATGAAGGACGTGGCGACGACGGACACGCTCTTCCTCCGCGAGCCGCCGGCCATCGACGACGAGGCCGCGCGCGACGCGCTGAAGACGCTCCGCGGCGCGGGCGTGCACTGCGTCGTGCCCCTCGACGCGCTCGCGGAGGCGCCCCTGCCGGGCGCCGTGCCCGCCGTGGACTGCGCCGCGCTCGGCGACGACGCGACGCTGGGCAAGCTGCCCCTGGCGTCGGACAGCGGCCGCATGGTCGTCACGTGCCGCGGCGACGAGACCGACGAGCAGCTCGAGGCGCTCAGGGCCATGGGCGACCAGGTCGACTTCGTCCTCGCGGAGACGGACCCGTCCCTGAGCCGCCTCCACGCGACGCGGCGCCTCTTCGAGAAGCTCGGCCGGGGCGCGCCGGGCGACGAGGGGCTGTCGGTCGTGCACCATTTGCGCGCGCCCGAGTGCGACCGGTCCGAGCTCGCGCTCCAGCTCGGCATGCAGGCCGGCGGCCTGCTGGGCGACGGCCTCGGCGACGGCGTCCTCGTCGAGCCCGAGGTGGCGAACACGGCGAACTTCGACGTCGCGTACCTCCGCGACACGTCGTTCGCTTTGCTCCAGGGCTCGCGCATGCGCAACACGAAGACGGAGTTCGTGTCCTGCCCGTCCTGCGGCCGCACGCTCTTCGACCTCCAGGAGGTCACGGCCCAGATCTCGGAGAAGACGGGCCACCTGCCGGGCGTCGCCATCGCCATCATGGGCTGCATCGTCAACGGGCCGGGCGAGATGGCCGACGCCGACTTTGGCTACGTCGGCACGGTGCCGGGCAAGATCGACCTCTACGTCGGCAAGACCGTCGTCGAGAAGGGCATCCCGGACGAGCTCGCCTGCGACGCCCTCATCCAGCTCATCAAGGACAACGGCAAGTGGGTCGACAAGGAGGACGACGAGGACGAGGACGAGACGGAGAGCGACGCGCCCGAGGTCGAGGAGCCCGCCCTCACGGAGCCCCTCGTCGCCTAGCGAGGGCGCGCGCCACACCCCGCCCCGTGGCCCTAGAGACTCATGCTGAACTACGCTTGCCGGAGCACGTCAGGCGCGTCTCGCCCGGATCGAGCCCGGTGACGTCGTAGCGTTCGCCGGTGAAGCGCCCGGCGAGGGACACGACGGTCTCCAGATGGAGGCACGTCGGTGTCGGAAAGTGGAGCCGGCTCTCTCCCGACGCCAGCGCGAGGAACAGCGCGAGCTGATCCGCGGTCTGGTCGTCGACGCCGCCGCCGGCGGCCGCGAAGCGGGTCGCGAGCGTCGCGACGACCCGCTCCGCGAGCCCCTCCGGGTCGTCCACGCGCCGCTCCTCGAGCGCGTCGGCGCCGAGCGTCGCGCCCGTCGACGACGTGAGCGCGAGCTGGACGCCGACGGCGGATCGGGGGCCCCGCGCGCGCTTCCGCCCGCGGCCGCCGCGGCCGCCCTTGCCGCCTTTGCCGCCGCCGTTCCCCGCGCCCCTGCCGTCGTCCCAGCGGCTCTTGGGATCGAGCGCGACGTCGATGGCCGCTCCGGGGAACCGTCGTTCGAGCTTGGAGCGCAGCGCGTCGACCAGACGCTCGGCCGTCGCGGGCAGCTCGCCGCGGCCGCAGACGACGCCGACGACGTTGACCGCCGTCGCCTCGGCCTCCTCCAACCGGAGGGGTCGCAGCGCGTCGGGCGCGTCGACGGCCACCAGAAGCTCGCCGCCGCCCTCCGGATGGAAGCCGCGGCGCGCGACGTCGACGTCGAGCCGTACGCCCATGAGCGCGAGGTTCGGAGCGAGCACGAGCTTGGCGTGGTCCGCCGCCGGCGAGAACGACACGTTCGTGCCGCCGCGGAGCCGCAGGACCGTGCGCCGCCCCGGCCGCAGCATCAGGATCGCGGGCAGCGCCGCCTGGAGCATGAGCGTCGTCGCGCCGGCCGTGCCGGCGTCGGCCGCGAACTCGTCGCCGGCCGGCGCCGCGCCCGCGGACCCGCGCACCGTCACGGCGCGGGAACCGACGGAAGCCTCGGCGGCGTCGAGCGCGCAGCCGCCGATGGCCGCCGTGAGCTTGAGCGACGCCACGTGCTGCGGCCGCAGCCCGGGCGTCGACCGCTTGCCGCGGATGCGCACGACGCGGATGTCCCGGCGCAGGCCCACGGCCAGCGCGCAGCTCGCGCGCAGGAGCTGGCCGCCGCCCTCGAGCAGCTCGCCGTCGACCTCTTCCAAGGCGTCGAGAGCAGCCATTGGAGCGCGCGGCGGCGGTCAACGCTGTCGCAGCGCGCGAGCGCTCGTCGCTGCCGGAGAGTCGCGCGGCGCGCGCGCGTCGCTGCGGAGAGTCGGCCGCCTGAGAGCGCTGCAACAAGTGCTGCAACCAAACTACAACTTAGCTACAATTTAATATTCAACATACGCGTGAAACGACCACAAGTCCCTAGGTTACAGATGCAGCAGCTCCCGCGCGATGCCCTCGACGAGGCCGTCCCAGTTGTCGACGACGAGGCCCGTCTTCTCGTCGACGCGGGCCTTGCCGTCGCCGAACGCCTCCGCGGAGACCCAGCGCCGGTCCGCCGCGCGCGCGAGCCGCGCGGCGCCGCGCCACGCGAGGTCGACGCGGCTCGCCTCGTCCGGCGGAACGACGTCGACGGCGCTCGCCCAGGGCGCCGCCGGCGCGCCCTCGGCGCGGAGCTCGCGCCGGAGCCGGCGGCCGAGGCCGCGGATCGCCGCGCCGCCGCCCGCGAGCACGACGGTCGCGACGCGGCCGCCGCCCGGCGCCGCGGCGCGCGCCGCGGCGCGGCAGGCCAGCGTGGGCAGGTTCGGCGGCGCCGACGCGGGGACGGCCGGCGCGATCGAGGGCAGCGCCGCGGCGACCGGCGCCGGCATGGGCGCGAAGAGCACCTCCGTTGCGTCGAAGCGCTGCCGATCGATGGTCGCGCCGCCGATCGTGACGCGCGCGAACTCGAGCTCCTCGGCCTTGGGCGGGACCGCGTCGGGCGACGCGTGGCGCACGTACGCGTGGTCGCGCTTCGCCGCGTCGGCGTCGGCGCAGAACGGCGCGAGGACGTCCGAGACGGCGTCGCCGGCCACGGGGCTCCGCAGCGTCGTGTACTTGTGGCCGTGCACGTTCGCCGACGACTCGACGACGTCCGGCGGCACCCGGCCCCCCGCGCGGAGCGGCGACGCCGTCGCGCGGCGCGCGCCGACGTCGAGGACGACGGCCGCGGGCAGGTCCTCGGGCCGGTCTTCCGCCGTCGCGGCGACGAGGGCGCAGACGGCCGCGTGCTCCACGCGCGCGCGCCGGCAGCCCGCGTCGAGGAGCCGGGCGACGACGCGCGCCGCGGACCACCGCGACGCGAAGTGGGGCGCCACCACGAGCACCGAGAGGTCGCGCAGGGACGCGATGCCGCAGCCCCGGGCCAACGCGTCGGCGACGCGGGCCGCGCAGACGCCGGGATCCTCGAAGGGCCGCGCGGGCCGCTCGAAGGGCCGCGCGGCGCCGGCGCGGACCGCCGCGAGCTCCGCCCGCCGCGCCGCGTCCCGCGCGGACGTCCAGCCGCCGCGCACGCGCGTCGGCGCGGCCGCCCAGTGGATGCCCGCGCGCTCGCCGCAGGCGCCGAGCTCGACGACGAAGACGCCCGCGAAGCGCGCGCGGCTCAGGCGGTAGCGCTCGGGCCCCCACGCGAGGTCGGGGCAGAGCGCGCCGGGGAACTGGCGCTCCTGCGCCGCGCGCCAGGCGGCCTCGCACGTCGCCGTCTGCCAGGCGCCGGTGACCTCGAGCGTGCAGAGGAGCGCGTCGCCGTCGAGGTACTCGAGCACGTGGCCGAGGGCGTCGCGCGGCACGCCGAGCATGCAGGGAGACGCCGCCGCATCGGCGTCGCCGGACGGCGCGGGTTGCTGCGCGGCGACCTTTCGCGGCATGGACAGATCATCTCATGGTGGCAGCATCGTGGCAGCCCGAACCATCATCGTGGCACGACGATCAAGAAGGATGCTCGCACGCCAACGTCGGCTAGTTGACTTTCTCTCGAGTGCGCGCGCGCGCTGTCGGCAGTGCAGAGCGTCAAGCGCACTCCGTCGCCGCTGCCCACGAGCTAAGAATGGCCGCGCTGCAGGCTGCCAACCTCTTCGGCGTCGCCGGCAAGCGCGTGCTCGTCACCGGCGGCGGCAGCGGCATCGGCGCCATGATGGCCGCGGGCTTCGCCGCCAACGGCGCCTCCGTGATCATCGCGTCGCGCAACGCCGAGGCCTTGGCCGCGACAGCGGCGGAGGTCAAGAAAACGACGTCCGCGGACATCGAAATCGTCGTCGCGGACCTGGGCTCGCGCGCGGGGTGCGAGGCGCTCGCGGCCGAGGTCGCGGCGGCGCCGCTCGACGTGCTCGTGAACAACAGCGGCACGAGTTGGGGCGAGCCGCTCGACCGCGAGTCCGGCCGCGCGAACTGGGGCTGGGACAAGGTGCTCGACCTCAACGTCAAGGCGCCCTTCTACCTCACGCGCGCGCTGCGGCCCGCGCTCGAGGCCGCGGCGGGCGCCGGCGCGCCCGCGCGCGTCGTCATGGTCGGCTCCGTCGCGGGCCTCACGCACCAGCCGACGCCGACGCACGCCTACGACACGTCCAAGGCCGCCCTCCATTCGCTGACGAAGAAGTTCGCCAGCGACCTCGCGCCCAAGGTCACGGTCAACGCCATCGCGCCGGGCTTCGTGCCGAGCCGCATGACCAAGGGTTTGGAGGCCTGGGGCATCACGCTGGACGGCATCGCGAAGCACGTGCCGTTGGGCCGCGTCGGCGCCGCGGCGGACATGGCCGGCGCGGCGCTGTTCTTCTCGTCGCCGGCGGGGTCCTGGGTCTCGGGCGTCGTCCTGCCCGTCGACGGCGGCCACCTCGCCCAAGGCATCCCCATGCCCGGGGACCTCTGATCCGTCCGTAAAACCAGCACGCTTACGGCGGCGCCGCGCCCATGTCCGGCTTGACGGGCGGCCCCGCGAGCCGCGCCGTGCAGATCCCCGAGAGGTTGCCGAGGAGCCGCATCGCGTGGGGCCCGAAGTTCATCGACGAGATGAAGTCGCTGCCGATGGGGTACTGCGTCAGCAGGTTCGCGCAGGTGTCGCCGCAGAAGGAGCAGTAGGCGTGGTGGTCGCAGCCCTCGGCGTACGCCATGGACCTGTGGCCGACGGACGTGTCGTAGGTCCGCGTCGCCGCGGGCACGTCGGCGTAGTCGAGCGTCGCGCAGAGCGTCGAGATGTTGCCGAGCGCGCGCGCGGCGCAGATGGCGCCCTCGTTGCGCGAGCACGACCGGCCGCAGAGCTCGGCGCACCAGCCGTCCGTGCACGACGCCGCGCACGCGCTCGCGTCGAACGCGCCGCAGACCGACGGCGTGTACGTGCCGTCGTCGTCGAAGGCGTCGCACGCGACGTCCTGCGCCGCCGGCGCCGCCTCGGTTGCCGTCGCGTCCAGGGATGCCGCCTCGAATGCCGTCGCGTCCAGGGATGTGCGTAGGTTCGGCGCCGCCTCGGTTGCCGTCGCGTCCAGGGATGTTCGTCGGTCAATTGGGGCTGCGCTGCGCGACGACAGGGCGACGAGGGCGCAGCCGCTGACGACGAGGCAGAGACCCACGCGGACGACGGAGCGGCCCTGGGGCTGCTCCATCATGGTGTTGTCACGTAATAAGTGCAGCTTGCGCCTCGACGCGGAAGTATCAACGCGACGCGACACTTCGCGATTGTAACCAAAGGGGTGGCATACACGCAGTCTCGACCTCGGTCGGGGCGACGCAGCTCCGAGCTGCCGAAAAGGCAGCATGCCGCCGCCCGTGCGGCCGCGCCCGGGCCCGCGCAGGGCGCCGCAACCCATCGTCGCACTCGCCCCGCTCGATCCATTGGACCGCCCCTGGCGCTCGAGCACGGCGCCGGCCGGCGTCAAGCAGCCCAAGCCGCCCGCGTCGGGCAAGCGCGCGCTTTCGGCGCCGCACGGCGCGCCGGCGCGCCGGCACAGCGCCGGGGCGCTGGAGATCCGCCTCGAGCTCGGCCGCCCCGTTGCGGCGAAGGTGAGCCCGGACGCCAAGGCCGGGGCGAAGGAGCCGTGGTCGCCGCCGCCGCCGCGGCGCGTGCGCTTCGACGCGGGCTGCGGGCCCGCGGCGCCCGTGTCCCCCGACCACAAGGACCCGGGACCCCGGCGCTTCGACCCCATGGTCGGCGGCGGCTCCTTCATCGACCCGAGATTCTTCGATTCGCTCCTCGGTTCGCCGTGCCACGCGGAGTCCAAGGGCGGCGGCGGCGGCGCGGAGTCCAAGGGCGGCGACAGCAGCGACGACGACGACGACGACGAGGTCGACGCGCTGCCCGCCTGGAGCCGCGTCCACCGGCGCCACACCGTCGACATGCCCGACCTCGCGAGCTGGAGCTGGCCCGACGGCGCCGACGCGAAGCCCGACGCCGCCTACCGCCCGCAGCGCACGCCGCTGTGACCCGCCCCGCGCGTTCGTTTTTTTGTTTGTTGTTCTAGTGCCCCGCGCCTCCGTTCGAAACGCGCGGCATCTTCACCAACGCGGGGAAACGTCGCGACGTTGAACGGGCTGCCCGCCTCGCGGACGCGATGTCGGAGGCCATCGACCGCGTCGTCGCCCAGGGCGAGGCCGAGGAGGCGCGGCTCAAGGCCGAGGGCCGCGTCGAGCAGCGCAAGGAGGTCGCCGAGCTCAAGGACGCGGGCAACGCGGCCTTCACGGCCAAGGACTTCGACAAGGCCTGCGACCTCTACAGCGAGGCCCTGGAGCTGGACCACGGCGCGAACCTGACGGCGCGCAGCGACGCCCCGGAGCACGCGCTCACGGGCGTGCTCTTCGCGAACCGGGCCGCGGCGCTGCTGAAGCTCGAGCGGCCGGCGGAGGCGGAGACGGATTGCCGGCGCGCGCTCCAGCGCGCGGCGTCCGCGAAGCTCCTCGCGCGCTGCGCCCTCGCCTGCCTCGCCCAGGGCGGCGAGGACAAGGTCGCCGACGCCTTCGGGTGCGTCTGCGAGGGCCTCATGCTCGAGCCGAACCACGCGGTCTCGCGGAAGGCGCTCCAGGAGGTCCGGAACGCGCCCGGCGGCCGCCTGCTCCGGCCCGACGGCGACTGCCTCGCCAAGCTCAAGTCGCGCATCAAGCGCCGGGGCGACGCGGGGCTCCTGGGCTACGCGCTGGCCTACGTCGACGTGCTCCAGCGCCTCGCGCCCGAGGAGTCGGCGGCGTTCGCGCACGACGCGAGCACGTGGTCCACGTGCCTCGGCGGCCGCATCCCCGAGCCCATCACCGCCGCGCCCGCCGCCGCCAACTCGCCGAGCATGGACCCGACGCTCTGAGAGTGTCGGAAGGGGGGGCGCGTAACATATCCCCGGCGCCGGCGGGATCCGGATATGGCCCACGGTAAACGACGCTGGCGCACTGCACTTCGGGTCGATGGGGTAGACGAGTTGAACCACTCAAGCTCCGATGGCGCGCCCCGCGCGGGCCGCGAAGCCGACGGACCTCACAGAAAAAGACGCCGCGCCGCTCGGCAGCGACGACGACGCCGCGTCGTCGAACGGCAAGGGCGACGACGACGACGACGACGCCTCCGTCGTCGAGTCCGCCGCCGCCGCGCCGGCCAAGGCCGAGGCGCCCAAGAAGCCGCGCGCGCGCAAGCCGGCGTCGAAGCTGAAGAAGAAGGCGCCCATCGGCGGCCAGGGCACGGCCGGCGCCGGCGCGGCGCCGATGACGGCGACGCTCCGGGCCGCGGTCGCGGCGCCGGCGCCGCTCGCCGGGTGGAAGGCGGCGCCGCTCGGCCCCGGCGCCGCGCTCGACGCCTACGCGGCGCCGCGCCTGGCGCTCGCGGACGGCGCGGTGCTCGCCGCCGGCGCGGGCGCCGGCGGCGCCGACGACTGCTTCGCCAACTGCGGCGCGGCCGCGCGCGCCGCGGACGTGTGCTCGAGCGCGTCCGGCGGCGGCGACCTCGTCGTCGCCGCGGCCGTCGCGGGCGCGGGCGGCTGGCGCCGCGGCGGGCCGGGCCCCGCGGCGGCGCTCGCGGCCGTGCCCGAGGAGTTCGACGCGCTCCTCGCGAAGCGGAGCGCCGCGGCCGCCGCGGCCGGCGTCGACCTCGGCGGCGAGGCGAGCCTCGCGGCCGCGCTCCGCGACCGGCGCGCGGCCGCGGCCGCGGGGGACCGGGGCGGCGCGCGCGTCGGCCTGCGGCGCCGGCGGCTGCGCGCGGCGCTACGCGTTCCGCGCCGACGCGCTCGACGTGCGCTGGGTCCGCGGCGCGCCCGCGCCGGGCGCGCTCGGCGTCCTCGTCGCGCTCACGAACGACGGCGCCGTCGAGGCGCGCGCGCTGCCGGCGGCGACGACGGGCCGGCTCCACCGCATCCCCGCGGCCTGGCGCTTCGCGGCGCCCGGCCGGCGGGCGACGTGCGTGCGGCTCTCGCCGCTCGCGCCGGCGCGGGCCGCCGTCGGCTTCGACGACGGGTCCTGCGCCGTCGCGGACCTGTCGCCCGACGGCGCCGCCGAGGCCCTCGTCGTCCTCGCCGGCGCGCCGCGCCGCGACCGGCCCGCGGCGACGGGCGCCGCGGTGCGCGCGCTCGCCTGGTGCCCCGCGGCCGACGCGTGCCTCGCGCTCGCGAACGAGAGCGGCCACGTCCAGGTCTGGAGCCTGCGGGACGCCGCGTTCCCGCTCTGGGAGGACCGGTTCTCCGACCGCTGCGGTAGCCTCGGGCTCGCGTGGCACCCGAGCGGCGCGTGCCTGCTGAGCGGCGGCGCCGTGCCGGGCAACTTCTCCGGCGCGGTGCTGCGGCTCGACGTCTCCAAGGCGCCGGACGAGAAGAGGCGGTCGACGGTCGCGTACCGCCACGCCGAGGGCACGGCGGTGCTCGACCTCGACGCGCTGCTCGTGCCCGCGGCCGGCGGCGACCGCGTCGAACTCGTCCTCGCGTCCGCGGGCGGCGACGGCGCGCTCCGCTGCGGCCTCGACGGGCCCGCGAAGCGCGTCGGCGGCTTCCTGCCGCGGCGCGTCGTCCACGCGCTCCGCGCCGAGGCCGCGGCGCCGCCGGCCGCCGCGGAGGCCGCGGCCGACGGCGGCACGGTCGACGGCGCGGTGCTCGCGGCGCTCCGCGCCGCCGAGGCCGCCGCGGCGCGCGCGCGCGACGACGCGCCCGCGGCCGTCGCCGTCGCGGCCGCGCCCGCGGACGACCCGGGCCCGCTGGACGACCGCGACGTCGCCGTCTGCTCCGCGCGCCTCGGCGCCGGCGACGCGCTCGGCTACGTCGTCTCGGCCGCGGCCTGCGGCCTCCTGCGCCTCCAGAAGGTCACGGGCGAGCCCGGAGACCGTCGACGAACCGGAGCCGGAGCCGCCGAAGAAGCCCAAGGCCAAGGAGGCGCCGAAGAAGCCCCGGGGCCGGCCGAAGAAGGCCGAGGACGCGGCCGGGGACGGCGACGCCGCGCCGAAGAAGCCGCGCGGCCGGCCGAAGAAGGCGGCGGCGCCGCCGCCGCCGCCGGACGAGGAGGACGAGGACCTCGTCTGCAAGCCCAAGCGCCGCAGCGCGCCGGTCGAGGAGGAGGACGCGGAGGAGGAGGACGCGGAGGACGCGCCGGAGGACGCGCCGGCGCCGAAGAAGCCGCGCGGCCGGCCGCGCAAGCAGCCGCCGCCCGAGGACGGGGAGCCCCCCGCGCCGAAGAAGCCGCGCGGCCGGCCGAGGAAGCACCCGCTGCCCGAGGACGGGCAGCCCCCCGCGCCGAAGAAGCCGCGCGGCCGCCCGCGGAAGCACCCGCTGCCCGAGGCCGCGCCGGCGGCGGAGGCCGCGCCCGCGGAGGAGGCGGCGCCCGCCGAGGCCGCGCCGGGCGAGAACGACGCGCCGCCCGCCGAGGAGGACGCGCCGCCGGCCAAGAAGCGGGGCCGGCCGAGGAAGCAAGGGGGGGACCCGCCCGCCGTCGTCGAGAACATGCCGCCGCCGCCGGCCGACGACGACGACGCGCCGCCGGCGGCCGACGCGCCTCCGAACAAGCGGAAGCGCGGCGTGCCCGCGAAGGTCGCGCTCTAGCGGCCCCACTGTAAGCAAGCTGTGATGTGGCCTCGGCGCGGCCAACGCCCGTTACTACTCACGTGGGCAGGACGTTCTTCTGGATCTTGGAGATGTAGACGTAGGCGTCGGTGCCGTGGCCCTCCATGGACCGGAGCTGGAGGTCGCCGTTGAAGAGGGTCGCGTAGACGCGCGCGAGCGGGAGGCCGTGGCCGCCGACGCGCGTCGCGAGGATGTCCGTCGCCTCGTCGGCGATGACGCCGAGGGGCACGCAGAGCTTCTGGTCCGCGAGGTCGCGCGCGACGTTGCGCTCCGCGGAGAAGGCGAAGATGCGGCGCAGCCGGGACCGGGGGATGCCGCCGCCGAGGTCCGCGACCTTGACGACGACGTCGCTGTTCGCGTCGCCGTCGGAGATGACGACGCTGATCTCGCCGAGGGCCCCGCCGTCGGCGGCGTGCTTGAGGAGGGACGCGCGCACGGAGTTGCGGAGCACCTCGCGCAGGATGATGTAGAGGTGGCGCGGCAGGTACGGCAGCGTGACGCCGCGGCCGTTGCCGTAGAGCTTGAACGGCGGCGCGAGCCCGCCCGGGTTCCGCGGGCTCCGCAGGCACTCCTCGCGGACGTCGGCGATGACCTGCACGGCGACGTCGAAGGGGCTCATCGCCGCGTCGACGAGGCCGCAGACCGACGGCCGCGGCTCGCTGGACGCGGCGCCGTAGAGCGACCGCGCGCGCGCGAGCTCGTCCGCGTCGAGCACGCCGTCGCTGTCGAGGTCGAGCTCGTCGAAGGTCTGGCGCAGGTGGAAGCCCGGGGCCGAGTCCGACGCGCCGCAGGCCTTGTGCTGGCCGAGGAGCAGGCGGAGCGTGAGCCGCTTCGCGTAGAAGTCGCCGAGGAACGCGTCGACGGCGGAGCCGCGGCCCCCCTCGGGCGCGCTCCCGTAGAGGCCGCCGGCCTCCTCGATGGCCTCGAAGAGCCGGTCGCGCACGAGCTTGCCCTCGCTGCGGATCGTCTCGAGCGTGTCGTCGAACGCGGCCTCGCGCGCGAGGAACGTCTTCGACGGGTTCTCGCGCCACGCGCCCCACTCCGGCGGCGGCGGCAGCTCCGCGATGCGCAGCGCGCTGTCGCCGTACCACTGGATCAGACTCGCCAGCGACGGCATGGAAGCGAGCGACGCCGGCGCCTCCTCGCCCAGCGCCACGGCCATGCGCGCGAGGAGCGGCGGGAGCTGCGCGTGCAGATACGTGCTCGACGTCTTGCGGTTCGCGATCTGCGTCGTCAGCGTCTCGAGCGTCACGACGGGCACCTGCTTGCCCGCCAGCTTGCGCACCGCGTGGGCCATGGCCTTGTTCATCTCGCCGAGTCGACCGACTGCTGCTCTCAGACCGACTGCTGCTCTCAGCACTTGCTCATCGTCGAGGCGATCTGCTTCAACATCTCAGTTCGAACTTCAACATTTAAACTGAAAGCGCGCAGGACGCCTCCTGGCCGGGACGCAGGACCCAAACGCCGACGCTCTAATGCGTTACACAAACCTCCGTTACGTAGAGATGCGACCGCGCGCGCGCGCTCCCGCGAAACCGCCGCGCGGCCTTTGCCGGGCGTCCAGCACGCCCGGCATCCCAGCACGCCGCGACCCGCGCATCCTCCGCGCGCCGCGACGTCCAGCCTAGAAGAGCAGGATGTGGAAGGCCATGGCCGCGACGACGACGGAGACGTACGGCGACAGGCGCTCGCCGATTCGACTCGCCTTCCAGCACGCGCCTCGTATGCCGGATCTCCTCTTGTAGCTGAGGTGCGGGCTCGCGAGGTCGTCCGCGCTCAGGCCGCCGTCGAAGACCGACGGCCGCATCGCGCGCACGTAGGTGCACGTGCAGATGATGAGCAGCAGCACGGTGACCAGGCTCGAGAAGTCGAAGATCGCCGACATGTTTCGGCGCGCGCGGCGGCGGCGCGACGACGACGCGCTCGCGACGATTCCGGCCGCTGCGGCGCACGGGCACGGCTCGGCGCGCGGCGCGGCGGCGGCTGTGCTTTTGGCCCAAAGTCGATGCTTGTGCGCAGTGTGGCGGTGCCCGGCCGGCGCGCCGCAGGGCGGCCGCAGGCCTCGCCGCTCGGCCCGCCGCGGACTCCGTACGGTGCGGCAGACCTCGGAGGCCGACGTCGCTCCACCCCGCCGCAGACCGCCGAAGAAGCAGAAAGACCGGCGGTAACGGCGCACAGCTCCGCGCGCGCCGCGCCGCGGTCGCCGACGACGACGGAGTCGAGGAGCGGCGCGCGACCGTCCCGCGCGCGGAGGCGCGGGCGGCGCCGCCTCGGCCTCAGCACGTGCAGTCGGAGGCCGGCGCCGGGTCGCGCTTGACCTTGGGGATGTGGGCGGACACGGACGGGTTGACGGCGAGGGCGTGGCGCTTCGCGGCGTCGCACTGGTCGAGGATGGAGTCGAGGACCGTCGCGTCGTAGCAGCGCCAGAGGTTGAGCGTCGGCGGCCCGCGCGCGGCGGCCGAGGAGAAGCGCTGGAGGAGCGTCGCGCTCGCGAGGCCGTTGGGCATGGGGTCGTGGTTGATGCCCACGAGGACGTCGCCGGGCTTGACGGCGAGCGCGGACGCCTGGCCCCGGATCGTGACGGCCGCGAAGAGGCCGTCGACGTGCTCCGCGGGCGCGGACCGCTGGCTCGCGAGCCGCGCCCACTCGATGCCGAGGGCGCCGTTGCCGCAGTTGATCGTCAGCTCCGCGCCGCCGGACGCGTCGTCGCCGACGGGCCGCTTCCGCCAGAGAAGCGCGTCGACGGCCGTGAGCGCGTAGCGCGGGTTCGACCGCACGAGCTCCTGGAGCTCCGTCGCCGACGCGCCCCGCGGCAGGGGCTTGCCGTTGATGGCGACGAGCACGTCGCCGGGCACGACGCCCGGCAGGTTCGCGTGGCGCAGGATCGCGGCGACCTCGATGCGCCGCGACGCGCACGACTCGTTCCGCAGCAGGATCCCCGTGCCGAAGACGCCGGGCTCGAGCTGGACCTGGTAGAGGCGCGCCAGCGAGTTCGCCGCGACGACGTTGACGCGGGGCGTCGCCTCCGCGGCGGCCTCGGCCGTCGCGCGCCGCGCGCGCGCCTCGGCACCCGCCCGCGCGACGGCGGCCTCGACGGACGCCTCGACGGCCGCCGCCTCCTCGGCGCCCAGCGCGTCCACGTCGACGAGGTCGCCCCAGGGCGACCCGTCGACGGCGAGCTCGAACTTGGCCCCGGCCGCCGCCGCGTCCTCCTCGGCGCCGAGCGCGCCCGGCGGCGCCTCGAGCACGCGGAACTCGTGGCCCGGCGTCTCCCAGGCGACGCTCAGGCCCCCGCCGCGCTTCCGCGACGACGCGTGCACGACGCGCCGGTCGAAGCGCACCTCCCGCTTCCCGCTCTTCAGCGACGCGAAGACCTCGCACCTGCGCGCGCGCTCGCCTCGCGCGCGCGCGCCGCCGCGCGCGGGGACGCCGGCGCCGCGCGTGTGCTCGCGGCCGCTCGGGCCGAAGCAGAAGCGCCAGCTCAGGCGCAGCTTCGTGTTCGGCCGCAGGCGCCCGCACCAGGCCTGCTCGCGCCGGATGCGGTAGACCTTGGAGATGCGCATGCGCAGGGCCTCGCCCTCCTCGAAGATGTCGCCGGATTTCAGCTCGTCCGCCGAGATGACGTTGCGCGCCATGGGTTGCCGCTTCTTCTTATGGGCTGTCGCGCGCCATAGCTCCTAGCGTGACGGCACACAATCTTGCCATTGTTTTTTCGCCGCAAACAATCTTTCCTGTGTTTTTTTTTTTTAGCGAGCAAGTTACCTGCTCCATCGGCCGGCAAACGATAGCCCGATGAGCTGGCTCGCCCGCGCGTCCCGCAGCGCGCGGCCAACGCATCGCTTCGCACCAGCGCTGCGCACGCAGCAAATCTCGCGCGAGTTTTCGGCCGTGCCGGCGGGCCAGGCGACGCGGCCGCACATCCTCTGGCTCTACCGCCGCATCATCTTCGCCGCGGCGAGGTTCCCCAGCAAAAACCGCGACAAGGTCTACGCCGAGATCCGCGACGAGTTCCGACGAAACGCGGCCCTCGAGCCGGGCTCCGACGCGGCCATCGAGCAGGTCGCGCTCGCGCAGCAGTCGCTGCGGCAGCTGCAGGCGTACACGAACATGCAGCGCGACGACGGCAGCTGGGAGCTCAACATGGAGTCGAACCCCATGCCCAAGCCGCCGATCGCGAACGACCCCAATTAGCCCTTGGCGTCCGTTCTCGCCCGCGCGCGTAATCCGCGCTCGTTCGTTTCCGCCGCCGGTCGCGGCGGAGAGGCGTTCGGTGTGTCGCGCTCGGTCTGCGCACGGCGCAAGCGCCATTGAGTCCTCGTGTCTGTGGGTCCTGCCGTCCCCTGAGGCTCAGCGACGAGGTCGTGACGCCGATCGCGCGCCGAGCCGCTCTCTCCGCGACACGCGAGGTAAGCGCTCGCTCCGCGAGCCGCGAGGAGAGCGCTCGCACCGCGACATGAGCCCTCGCGCCCCACGCAAAGGCAAGTCCACGTAGTTACGGAACCGGGTGGCGGCGCGGACGGGCGCGCGCGCCGGGTCCGCCGTCGCTACGAGTTCTTCGCAGCCTCCTCCGCGGCTTGCAATTTCTTCATGAAATACTCGTAGGCTGCGAGGGGCGCGCGCATGACGGACCGAAACGACGGAAAGACCGGGCGCGGCGCGCGCGCCGTAGGTCGGGATGTCCGAGGGCTGGTCTCGCAGCACCTCCTTGGTGAATTCCCGAAGCGTCGCGGGGAACTCCTCCGGCAGCGCGAACTCCTGCGGACCGTGGCGTGGGAACCGGCCAACACAATAAACGAGCGCACCTTTTGGTATTTGCTCGACATGACAGAAGTCGCCTCGAGGGCCGACGGCGGTTTCCTGCGGCGGCGGACGCGATGAGCGCGACGTTTTCTTTCGCGCGAGCGCTTCGACGGACGGACGGCTCCGGCGGGCGCGGGGCGGCGGTCGGGCGGCCAGGGGGGCGCGCACCTGGGCTGCCCGGTCGAGCTGCTGGGCGTTGCTCACCCCGATGCGATAACCGAGCAGGGGCAGCCAAAAAAGAAAAAACTTGAACGTCGCCGGGGGGTTTATTTAGCCGACGCAGGCCCACGCCCCCCGCGCCGCCTCGTCGAAGAGCGGCGCTTTGCGCGGCCCCTCGTCGGAGCGCGTGCGCAGTTCCCGGGGCAGCCGCCGCGGGTCGGAGGGCCGGCGGCCGACGGCCGCGGGCGGCGGCGGCGACGCGGGGACGACGTGGAGCGCGGCGGCGTCCTTGGCGCTCGCGTAGGCCCGGTCGAACTCGGCGGTCTCGGCGCGCTGCCGCGCCCGGGCGACCTCCGCGCCCGCGGCCTCGACGTCGTCCCGGAGGCCCGAGATCTCCCGGCGGAGGTGCGCGCGCATCGCGCCGTGGGCCGCGCGGGTGTAGGCCCGCCGGATGCCGTTGTTGCCGAGCGCGACGTGGCCCGCGCGGCGCCAGACGACGACGGCGAGGTCCGGCGTCTCCTCCAAGCATTCGAGCAGCGCCGCCGCCGCGTGCGCGTTCTCCGGCTCGCCGTCTTGGTCGAGCGCGCCGCCGGGGCCGCCCTCCGCGGACGGCACGTGCGCGCGCGGCCAGGCGCCGGCCTTCACCGTCGCCCAGTGGGGCACGTCGGGGTGCGAATGCTTCAGCGCCTCCGCGAGGCGCTTGCGGTCCGCGGTCTTCACGACGAAGGCGGAGAAGAGGCTGTCGCCCACTCTGTGCAGGAAATGGGGCGTCAGGTCGCAGAGCGGCGCGGGGTTCTCCTTCGCGAGCATCTTGTTGATGTACTCCATCCTTTCTTGTAGCGTGCGCGTGTCGCGACGGACCGGGCAGCCCGACCCACCTTTTCGACGTAAGAGCTTAAGTTTGGCTTGAAGCGTTGTTGCCTCTTTCGTCGCGCCGGTCTACATAAGCTCGCTCGAGCGCCGCGCCGGCGAACACTGCCCCATCGCGCCGCGCCGGAGAGCCCTGCCCCATCGCGGCACTCCTCCCCGACGACACGTAACCCACAAGTAGAGCCCCGCGCGCGCGCCGCCGCCGCCCGCCGCGCGGTCCTCAGATGTAGATCGCCGTCGAAAAGTGGAAGCTCACGACGAGCTGGAACGGGAATTCGAGACAGACGAAGATGATCCCGATCGTGTTCATGATGACGTCGACGCGGAGCCTGCGACGCGCGAAGTCCGGAGGCGCGCGCGCGTTCCGATGCGCTTTACGACACAATCCGGGACGCGGCGCCGCACACGTAGAGCTGCAAGTAGATGAAGTACGTGTACGCCGTCGCGACGCAGGGCGTGAGCAGCAGGCTCCAGATCATTGGTCTGAGCATCTCCGTCTTGTTCGACTTCGAAGCTGCGCGCGGCGGAGCCTCACCCGATGGCGCGGAACGTGCGACGCGCTGCGATGCGCGCCCAAAAAGATGCGCGCCCACTGGAGCATGGCCATCAGGATCTGGACCGAGACCTCGAGCCAGATGACGTAGCGCGGGTAGTACAGGAAGCTCCCTGCGCGCGCGCGCGCGTCGATTTTCGGCGGCCGGAGCGCGTCCCGCGCCGGCGCGCGCCCTTGTACACGTAGAGCAGCAGGTTGTAGATGAGGAACCCTTTGATGAACCAGTTGTCGAAGTAGAGCAGGATCTGCAGCGGCAGCGACGAGAGCTACGGGAATGGGGGTTCGGACGGAAAAACGCGCACGCGCGAAACGCACGATCTGCGTCCGCTGGCCCGGCTGGTTCTGCTGCATGGTTTCGCGCCCGCTGGCGGGCCGCCGGCCGCGCGCAGACGGTGCCGCCGCACTTTCAGGGGGAGCGCGCCGGTCGTCTCGTTCGAACACTCGATACGCAGCCCCTAACTAGGATTCAAGCTTCTGCGAGCACTCAGACCTTCTGGCGAAGGGAGAGAGAGACCTTCTACAGTTACTGAACCCATCCGCTAGAATGGTTTAATTCCGATGCCGGCTTTTCGGACTGGCGCGCCGCGCGTCGCGGTGAACGACGGCCATCAATTTGCCCGAACCGACGCGTTTTGGTGTGTTATTCAACACAAACCTCTCTCTCTCTCTCTCTCTCATGTTGATGGACGTGGATTTCGAGCTCGGCCGCGTCGACGGACCCGCCAAAGCCGGAAGCTACCGCGTCGACGTGCCCTCCCTGTGTTGCACCACGACCGCCATGGCCTCGTGCAGCATGATGTCGCGGTCGTCGCGGTCCATGTTCGCCTCGCCATTGGACGACGACGCGCGCGGCCCCGGGGCGACCTGGTCCCGCGTCCCGTCGTTCCGTTCCGAGGCCACGGAGTCTGTTGCGCCCTGGTGGTCGCTCCACTCGGGCACCGCGGCCCACCTCGACGAGCACCCCGCGCCCCCCGCGGCCCTGTCGACGAGCTTGCAACCGGGCGGCCGCTGGGCCGTCGACGCCGCGCCGCCGCCGTGGTTCAAGGCGGCGTTTCACATGCAACAGAACCGGACGCTCGAGGCCGAGGAGGCCTTCGCCATCACGGAGCTCATGGCCGGGGGCGACGCCGAGGACCTCGAGGAGCTGCTCAAGATCGAGGTGCGGCCCGACCCCGCGGGCGGCCAGAGCACGGCGTCCTTCGCCGTCGAAGCGTATCCCCTCGCGGACCTCGCGCGCGTCGAGCCCGGCGCGCGCGTCTACTGGTCGCCGGCCCACGACAACCTCCGCGGCGTCGCCTCCCACCACGTCGACGGCGACCAGGGCGCCAACGAGTGGTACCGCCTCGCGCCGACCCGCGTCCGCCGGAATTCCGCCGAAAGTTTCGAATTTCCGAGCATCCGAGCCGGCGCCGCGCGCGCGCGCGGGCCGCCCACCGCCCCGCCTCCTAGGTCGCGCGGCCCTACGTCGACGCCGACGCGCACTACGTCGCGAACGCCGTCTCCCTCTGCCAGCGCAACGACGACCTGCCCGCGGCGCGGCGGCGGAAGCGCGGCCGCGACGAGTCCGCGCGCGACCGCAAGCGGCCGCGGACGCTCTCGGCCTCGCTCGCCGACGTCGACGGCGTCCACCTCCTCGTCGACGAGGTGGACGCCGCCCACGCCATCATGGAGCTCCTCTCCGCGTGAATCCGACCCCCCCGGGGCGCGCGCCTTCCGGGCCGCGCCCCGCGCCACTTATGACTAACGTTCGGCGCGCACGCTGTCTTCGGGGAGCGCGCGCGACGCCGGGCGGTCGGCGGCGGCGCGACGGGTGCGGCGCGCCGGGCGCCCGCGCGGCGCGCGGAGCGCTGCGGAAAGGGGAGTTGCAAGCGGATTGCTCCGGGTTCCGAAATTCATGCGTTGCTCTGACGGGTCGTCCAAAAATTTATTTAATATCGTCGGAAGCTCTCCCGTACGTTCACCCTCAAAGATAGGCTCAAAGATACCAACGCCTGCGAGCCACAACATTCTAAGATACGGACGACCGCGAGCCACCAAATCCGTTGCCGGGGGTAAACCAGATTGGCTGGTGGCTGTCCGGGAGGCCGTCTGGGGGCTATCTCCAGGGGGACCCGGAGGACTTCCCGGAAGGGTGCCCGTAGTAGAACGACCCGGGGGCGCGAAGACCAGCGTTCTAACTGTTACAGCTCCGCCCTCCCCGGCTTCGACGCCGCCTTCACCCCGAGCGCGTCGGGCCCCGCAGCGACGTTCTCGCGGAAGGCGACGAGGTGGTTGAGGCCGTCGATCGCGGCGCGCTCCGCCGGCGCGAGCGGCGCGGGCCAGGCGTCGAGGACGGCGAGGTTCGCCCGCACGTGGCTCGCGTTCGACGACCGCGGTATCGCCGCGTGGCCCGCGTCGAGGACCCACTTCGAGACGACGGAGGCGACGCTCGCGCCGTTCGCCGCGGCGATCTGCGCGAGGAGCGGGTCCGCGAGCGCGCCGACGCCGAAGGGCCAGCCCGAGAGCTGCGAGTAGGCGACGACGGCGACGCCGAGCGTCGCGCAGAGGCCGACGACGTCGTCGCGCTCCGCGGGGCTCTGGTCGCCGCGGCGGTAGGGGTCGAACTTGTTCTGGACGACGTCCGGCATGCGCAGCCCCCCGAGGTCCGCGTCGTTGGCGAACTGGCGCAGGTCGCGCGCGTTGAAGTTCGACAGGCCCAGCGCGCCGATCGTGCCCGCGTCCCGGAGCTCGACGAGCGCGCGCCACGCGTCGGCGACGCGCGCCTTCTCGCCGCGGTTGAAGCCAAAGGGGCTGTGGAGGTAGTAGAGGTCCACTCGGTCGACCCCGAAATTCCGCAGCGTCTCCTGGACGCGCCGCCGCGCGCCCTCGTAGCCGAGGCTCTTCTCGTCGGAGATCTTCGACGCGAGGAACAGCCGCGACGCCGTTGCCGGGTCCTTGGCGATGGCGCGGCCGATGGCCGCCTCGTTGCGGTACGCCTCCGCGGAGTCGACGTGGACCCCGGGGCCCTTCGGGCGCGACCGCAGGTAGGCCAGCGCCGCGTCGACGGCCGCCTCGGACTCGGCCTCGCTGAGCCAGCACGTGCCGACGCCGAGCGTCGGCAGCGTCGTCCGCGACGGCGCCAGCGCCTTCTCGGGCGCGGCGGCGCCGGCGCCGGCGGCCGGCGCGACGACGACGGGCGGGAACGACAGCGCCGCGTCGTCGAGGGCCGCGCTCGCGCGGACGAGGCGCGCGTGCCAGTGGGGGAACTCCCGCAGCGCCCAGTCGCGCCGCTCCGCGTGCGCGACGAGGCCGGCCTCGCCGAGCTCGACGAGCTCGCGGCAGTCGTCGCCCGCCGCGGCGACGGACGCCGGGCACGGCTCGGCGGCGCAGGTCGCGGTCCGCGCGAGCAGCGCGCAGAGCCGCGCCGGGTAGAGCACGAGGCCCGGGATCGCGCCCTTGAGCAGCGACGGCGAGTCCTCGGGCAGCGTCAGCGACCGCGGCCGCGTCCCCTCTCGGACGATCGCGCCGAGCGTCGCGACGCGCTCCGCGAGCGCCGCGCGCGCGTCGAGCTCCAGCGACCCGTCGTCGCCGCGCGTCGCCGCGGGCGCGTCGGCCGCGTCGTACGTCGGCAGCGGCCAGGGCAGCCCGAGGCCCCGGCGGACCTCGGGCACCCAGAGCCACTGGTCGCCGCACGCTCGCGCGCACTCGCGGTTCATGAACGGCACATTCGCCGCGCACTCGCCCTCGCCCGCCCAGAGCTCGCAATGGTACGCGGCGGCGTAGTCCGGCGACCGCCGATGGTTCGACGCGCAGGCCTCGCGGCAGGTGACGAGCATGAATTTACTATTCTTCTCGCACTCGCCGCCGGCGGCCCACTTTTCGCATTGCTCTTGCGTGACATCCGCGGCGAAGACGATGGAGACGCCGAGGAGGGCGAGCAGGCCGCGGCGCGAGCTGCGGCGCGAACGCATGGGCGCGGCCATCGCCGCGGCGTTCTTGCAGTGCAAAGAGCAGTGCACTGCCACTGGTTGCGAGTTGCAGTGGATACCCCGTCGCTTGAACTATTGCAAGCCAAGACAAACTTTGAAGAAATCCTAGCTTCTAGAGGGCTAGAGACGGTGTCTCCGCTGGAGTATTCAGCGGCCGATGATGGAATCTCCACCTTAGAGGGGCCCGCGCTCCTCGAATATGCAGCGACGTGCAACGGTCCCAGTGGCTTTGAGGTCCGCAAACATGTGGGTGAGGCACATGAAAAGACGCGACATCCGGACGATTGCGAGGCGACGCAAACGGGCAGCCTCAGGGGGTGGAATGAGGCGCAGCAGCTTCCCCCGACCCGATTTTCGGTCCCCTTCGAGTCACAGAGCGTCGGGAATCGTTCGTCATGGGAGCGACCAGATGCCCTCGCGGCAGCTCTTCGACTCGAGCCGATTTGATCGAGATCACCTCACCGGCTCCGAGAGGCGCGCGGCGCCGCGGGCGACACGGTGCTCACCGCGCAATGCACGAGGCCGTATGTGCGACCAAGCCCGGACAGCCCCCTCGGGAGGGACATTCCAGGGGGTGTTTCTTCGAAGTTGGTCGCACATACGGGACCTCAGCACTAATGCGAGCCCCTCGTCGGTCGCCCCCCACCGATAACCGCCGTTCTCGTCGTCCACGGGCTGCCCCGACGCGAACTAAGTTGCTCCCCATCGACCGATGGTCTTTCCCGAGCGACTCTCA